ACATACTTACTATATTAATTACATGAAAGTTGTAATGAAACAGAAATTCAAATTGACAAACAAAGAAAATAATTTAGCAGGGGTAAGAATATTCGCATCACAGCAATCATCACTTGTTTGTAAACATAACGGTCAGTCGGCTGTGAGTTCAACTCCAAGCATGGTTGTAGCCACCTATCACAGTGGGGAGTTTTGACTAGTGGCAGCTATAGTATAGAGAGCTCTGCAAACGGGATATCGCTGTGAGGAACTTGCTAATATCATTGCTGCAGAATGAAAGTAGTTCTACAATAAAGCCAGGACTACTTTCAGTCTGCCCAAGTAAGATTATGGTTTTCAGAGTAAACGTGTCTGTCACCATCTTCCCGAGGCAAGAGAGTTAACGGACTATAAAAGTCCAGTTTCTAAATAGGCTGGTATCACGGAGTTACATTTTGGCTGGACTAACGAGACTTTGCATAGTCCAATCAAAATCGTGCAATGAAATCGAAATCCGGTTCATAAACTGAAATGCAGATTTCGGTCGATTGCAGGGTTTGCAAAGCATGTGCACTGCCAACTCGTTGTCAACAGATATTTTCCAAATCTTTTCATGTTTTCAATCAAGGTGCTCGCGTGATTTGATGAACTTCGCGATGTGAGACCCGTGTTATCACGATATAGACCTTGATTATCGATTAGATCATCTTGACTGTAAGCCGCCATGTTTGAAGCAAAAGCAAGTGATACAAGAGGTGGAATCTGATTGGTCCATAGGAGAGGCTTAGAAAGAACATAACTCGTAATACCCACTGGTGGCGCTACGATCGAGCCCAGGAATTCCTGCCTAGTTCGGCAAGGGTGGAAACAGGACTTTTAAAGTCAGTTAACTCTCTTGCCTCGGGAAGATGGTCTGTCTCATCTCATGACCACACTCAGGCCCAATGATGATATAGCATTCCACCACGGCCACACGCTAATTTGCATATCACGTGACCAGACTTTTCTCCTGTTTGTAAACAAACATGCTTATTCTGAAATAAGCAGACTGGCTTATTGGAAGAAGTTTGGCGTGTTTTGCATATTGTTTTGCATAGTACACAGATATGCTACTACACCGGCAACATAACATCAAAGTGACAGTTTCACTAGCTCTCCATAGGCTTCGATGACAACACATAGGGCCCCACTCTCCTACCCAGAGTTCCATGCGGCCGGCAGCCAGCTAGCATAGTACCTCTGCCACAGGCCAGCGCCATGTGACGATTCGTCACATCTTTCACAGTCCATTCAAGATATTGCATATGCTTTTCATCCGTTTCATGTTTGACAAGTCTACACATTTTCATAAACAAATGTCAAAGAATGGTTAACTTTCATTGAGAAAGTATGCAAATATGTAAAAATCTACTTGTTTTTGCGTAGTTATCCTATGTTTACATTGGTTGGACGGCTCCATGTGCTGTCATCGATATCCAACGGAGAGCTAGCGACACGGCCACTTTGATGCATAAATATATATTGTCATGCAACTCACTGTCGCAGTTGTAGTAGCATATCTACCGGTATATAGTTATGCAAAACAATATGTAAAGCGCCCCCAAATACTTGCATTAGTCCGTTCTATACTGATTTCTGAAAAAGCGTGTTTGTTTACAAACAAGAGAAAAGTCCGGTCACGTGATATGCAAAGTAGCCTGTGGCAGTGGTGTTATGCTGAGTCACCACTGCGACGGAGTGTGATAGGGCCCTATAACTCATATAAACAAAGGATAAATATGCAAATGGAAATAGTCTTTTATGTCTTAGGTTATTTTCTCAATGAAAGTCATTTTATGAAATAATTTATCTAAACGTGTAGATGCTTAAAAAATGAAACAGCTGAAAAATATGTGTAATGTGTTGAATGAACTGTGTAAGATGTGATGAATCGTCACATCTCGCTGGCCTGTGGCAGAGGTACTCGTAACATGATGGCATGGAACTCTGGGAAGGAGAGTGATCTCATGACCTGAAAGAATTGATGACATTTTCACTTGAAAATATCAAGTTTATCTGGTAATGAAATGAGATAAACATGTTATATAAGACCATGATGACAAGAAAATATAAATCATATCAATTTGTCATATCATTTTAAAAATAATATTTATTTGTCATAACATTTATATATTTTTTCTTCTACCTTAAACCTGTTAACACTAGTTACTTTAAAATAAATTGCAAGTGATTTCACGGCATTTGATAGGTTAACCAAGGTATATTTTTGTATGTTTATGTTTACACAAACCTAAATTAAGTAGTCCATGCCCACTAGCAGACTGTTTCATATTTTGCTATCATATCATCTGCACGTTTTTAGTATTAATGATTAAAAAAGCAGTCTGTGAGGTCATTATCATTGCTAAATGTATTTATCAGAATTGATTTCATACATATTTTGTGTTTACAGAGGTATAAACTAAAGAGCAGTCGTGCACACTTTGCACAAACATATTGTGTTGACTGCATTGTAGAAACGTAGCCTCACAAAAAGAAAATGGTGTCAAACACAGAAAAAGCTAAGCAGATAGTTGTCCGAAGTTCAAATCAAAATATTTTGGTGTACTTCATGACATAAAAACATGGGACTCAATATAAAACGAGTGCAAAATCGGCAACAGCGGAAGCGCTCGTTTAATCTCCAACATCATCATCATCATCAATATGAAGATTACCGTAGGATACATTCTTAAAGCTACGTGTAATGAAAGTTAATGTGAGTTTTAAGCATGGTACATAGACTTGCTCAGTCCTGTTTGATCATTCACATCACATCATGTACTTCTTACTACTGATGCACCCATCAGTCTCCCATGGCAACCACTCACAGAATCTCCCTACATGCATTTCTCTCAGTCCGGCAAATCATCACGTTCATGACAGATGCAAGAAGGGAGTGAGTGAGTGAGTTGGGTTTAACGCCGCTTTTAACATTATCCAGTTATATCACGGCGAGTCAGCTTCATGTGGGAGGAAAGCCCGAAGTGATGCAGGTCTTAGACGTTTACCACTTCGGTGAAACCCACGAGCACGGGTATGGTGCTGACAAACATAGAAACATAATCGGGGCGTACCGGGATTCGAACCCACAATCATAGGTTTCTGGCGTGCCCAAGGGACGCAACTCTGCACAGCGAATCGCGCGCCTTAGACGACTGGGCCACCCGTGCCCCCCATGATGCAAGAAGGGAGATCAGGCCTCATGAGATTTGGTTAGTAGGCAGGCTCATGTAGAAATCTAGAAATAGTATGGAAAATAATTCTTTCAGAATTAGAAATATTGCTTGCCAAACAGACTCTGCCAAGTAGACTACATGCGGGACACAGGAGACATCTAATTTACTCGTATCTTTTCTTTTATTTTGTTAAAAAAACTATTTTTCACATTCTGTTTTCCTCCGGTTTTAAGGCCATTTCCTTTGGGTTGCTTATTACTGATGATTTTATTTATATGTAAATTGAAATTATCTAGTAAAGTGTTGAATAGCAGATTTAATTGTGAAAGTTGTGAAACAAACTTTGATAATCAAATAAATATTTTTCTCTACATTTGATGATGCAAACACATAGTTGATCAATGCAAGGATTTAGGTCAATGATCATAGCAAACAGTGTGTATCAGATAGACAAACTATTGCCAAACATAAAGATGTCGTTAACAGAGGCTCACCTACATTTTTCTCTGTAGAATCATTTATCAAAACATCATGAAGAAACACCATGCCCAGTATGCTTAACACAATATGCTGCCATTTTAGTTGCCCAGGGAATCAGTAGCACAATCACTAAAAAATAGAGATATTCTAATAGAACAAATTTTCTATGAAAGCCGCTTGCTCATATCAATGTTCATATCACGACATAGAAAATGTCCAAAGTAAAAAAGGTTTGTACTGTTACTGGACATACAGATTCAAATTAAGTTCATTTCTGATTTCGATGTCCACTCAAACCTCTACCTTAAAATTATCACAAATGACCATAAATCATATACAAAACACATGATGATGAAGATGTGTTGATAAATTCTAGACAACCAGCTAGCACAAATTTGGTATATATATTTAATTTGTAAAAATCGTCAAATCAATTGAACAAATTTCAAAATTCCTCATACCTTGCTTAAACTCACAGTCATAATACATATAAATTAATTATGCAAACCTTTAATTCCATGGCAACCATGTATTAACCTAAATTCCAAAAGAGATTTGAATGTGAATGTAATTGAGATTGTAAATGTGTTGGCAGTACAGGGATCTATAAACAAACATATCATTTCATGGTTGAATTCCCGGTCAAAGGGTCAATGAGCTTAGCAGTATGCATATAGGTTGGTCACCAACAGCTGATTCAGTATCTAAAAATAGCACAAAGGCATATCACTGTTATGGTATACACACATGAAGATTATTCCACTGATTTAGAGAAACTAGAAACTTGAAGATGAAACTGTTAGTTTTATTAAAGAAGTACATTCACCATGTAATTCCTTCATCATGCTATAGTGTTAACAAGTGGACTAGGTTCAATCATTCATTAGACTGCAATTCACACCACACCCTAGTCAAGTCACTGTATTTCCAATTATACTTTGCAGTGAACTTACTTGAACATTTTAAAGGCATGTCAGAATGCAACATTATCTAATTTTGTCACAAATCTTCAACAACATTATCAGAGTAATCAAATATCACAGATTATATTATTTGTTTTGAATCCACTTTGACCTTTCTTTCAATTTCTCACCTTCCGATACAAATGGATTCGCCCAGTTATCAACCCGAGTAGAGTGTCAACAAAGGCCTTACCGCTTTCAAATGCACTACTGCGGCTAAAACTACTTCAAAATAGTTTCATAATTGCTATATGAATCTGTTACGTATGAAAACTGTATCAGAATCAAACTTGTTACTAAAATCCACTCATCATTTTCATGATAAACAGGCACTAAACAACTCGTACTGGGCCATACTCACTATGAATCGTTGGTGAAAAGGGGAGCTTTTGGTTGTTCATAACTGTACAAATGACTATGAAGTACATCAAAACAGAAGTAACACATTTCTGGACTAGCAACTGTGTATCCATTTTTGTGGTAGTTCGGGTAGACGGCGGAGCCATTGCAACAAATGGAGGGAAGTGAATTGTTCAACTTCTGTTTCTTCACTCCACAACAGCTGGCCGCCATCTTCCCCCTGTGGTCTCGCGACATTTTAGTGTAATCACGCGAGAGATAGAGGAACTAGGATCCGTCTATATCGCAGAACTGCACTTCGTATTAATGAACTAGACCCAGTTTACATTCTATACCTTCTTGTCTGTTTTTATGTATCTCGGAGTACAATGACGGAAATATTGACGTTCCCTCCCGATATTCTCCGAATGTAAGTGAAGCTTCCTTCCGGGCACATGGACTGTTAGAAGCTACTAATGGCTTGATCAGAATATATATTTGCGTCTTAGTGCTGATAGGACTTCGTCAATGCAAATCGAGTAAGCTATTCTGAATTTAAGACGGTTAAATATTGTTGGAGAACTAATGTTTATCAAGGAGGACAAATTGTCACCAACATTTTTCATAAACATCTTCACCCTTGCACGACCATGAGACCTGGAAATATACTTCACTTCAGTATCAACATGTTTTAAATGACATCTCTGTTTCTCGACAAACGCCATTGATTCCGTTGATTATATTTAAAAATTATTTTCTAATGTTACCACTAAACGCACTGTTATGTTTGTGCAGTGACAGTTTTAGAGGGATAAATAATTAATCTTTTTATTTCATAATTAATGCACTTAGGCACACATTATGGGGATAAAATCTAATGTAGGTGACAGTTTTAAATTTAATTGATAGTCCTTTTCAAACTTAATTTGACGTTTAAATTCACGTTTGTTAAATTTCGAAACAAAATCATTTCTTTTGTGAAAATATTTATTGATTAAAATAATGAAAACACAAGTGTCAGTGGCTACTGTTTACGAACTGTTATTGTTTCCCTTTTTCTTAAAATTGTAGTGGATACCTGCTTGTCTGTGAGAATATATCGTACCGAAAACTAAACAAACGTTTTCACAATCTCATTAAAATCAGATCTTAGTTCTCGCTATGCTAAACAAAGATCTGAGGACATCCCGTTAAGGGTCACGTCAGAACGACCTTTCATCCAACCAATCAGAGCGTCGCTTACCAGATCATAAAAGTGACTGTCGGAATGTGTTTTCTAATCATGCAACCACGAAATATTTAACACAGGGTATTCCGAACAACAGTTACGGGTTTAATGATTATACCCATACAATCTAGGCCATCTATAAGCCATTCCAGAATGTTCTTCTTGTCAGTTTTAATTTTTTTTAATCAAGAATACGTCAAATTATGTTTCGAAGCGTAGTCGCCAGTTTGAAACTAGTCTCGTAAAGCTCGAGAAAGCTACCTTCTGATTGGCTAATGTCGATTTCTTGTCAGTCATTTCATTGGTCGGTCAAAATTCGCGAAAGGTCGTTCTGACGTGACCCGTAATGGGATGTCCTCAGATCTTTGTTTAGTGGTAGCGAAAACTAAGATCTGATTTTAATGAGATTGAACGTTTTCACAAACAATATGTTTGGATCTAAGTGTGCATTACAGGGAAGACCAAGAGAATGAAGATAAAAAAATGTTTACTTTACAGACTGTCAAGAGGTCAGGATAGCTGGCTGTATTGTTGCCATATCCGTGATTGAATGAAAGCTTAATAGGTCATATTCTCAGCTACAGATATAAAACTGAAACATCTGAAGGCTGTCTAGAACCAGCATTAACAAAAAATTTTTTTTTTAACAAAAATGAACACACACAAAAATTCAAAACGGATATGATGTCAAGCACAATTATGGTACCAAGGTCATGCCTGTCATTTTTTTCTTTTTTTTTCTTCAATTTTATAGATATATATATGTCTTTTTAAAGTGTTTTTAAAAATTCATGTCGGGAACCACAAGTCCCAGAAAGCTGGGACTCGATGAGAATATGTGGGACTGTAAAAGGCCTTTGTGTAGATTATGATGGCTATAAAGTGTATCAAGATTCTTTGAGCTCTGAGATGGATGTTTTGATTAACTTGTAATCATTCTAAAGAGGGTAAATTTACAGAAATCTTATCTCAGGAAAAGGCAGTTCCAACTTTTGTGAAGAGTCAGAGAGTTAAAATGTATATTCAGTAAGCAGTACTTCAGCAAGATACTTCTTACTAAAGAGATAATATCTGTATGTTATTTGAAAACATGTCAACAAAGGATGCTAAGGTGTCTGTTTGTGTTGACAGATAATGGCCCAGGTACTGAACGGCGGTCATACCGCCACTGCCCAGTGTGTGGACGTCCAGGCCACAAAGTCGCGTGTAGCAACCGGAGGTGAAAACGGTGAGCTGTGCCTCTGGTCCCTCTCATCGGGGGAACTCCTCGACAAGTTCGTCAAACCAGACACCGATTGCACCTCCGTTCTGTTCTCAAAGTCAAAACCAAACGTCCTGTTTGCGGCATTTGGACAGGAAGTTCTGATATTTGATACCGATGCCGACTTCCAGATTCCCATTCACACTTTTCAGTACAACCAAGAGGAGATAAATCAAATTCAAATGGATGACAAAGAGGACTTTTTAGCAGCATGTGATGATTCCGGTGAAATTAAAGTCATCAATGTCAATGAAAGAAAAATATTTAAAACCTTGCGTAATAAACATACAAACATTTGCTCAACGCTTCATTTCCGACCAGGAAAGCCATGGGACTTGTACAGTGGGGGCTTGGACTGTAAACTTATTCACTGGGACTTTGCCAAGCTGAAAGCCCTGAATCAGTTCAACATGCAGGAAATGCAGGTAACGAACGTGGATGCTTCGGCCTATATGGTGAACCCGCCGTTCGTTCATCACATCGACACATCACCCAATGGCAAATATCTTGCGTGTGCACTGGAAAATGGCCAGATCGAGGTGTTTGATACGACCCGGAGACACATACGAGAGATCTTCAGTCTCTATGCTCATGGTCAAGGGGTTTCTCAGGTCAGCTTCCTCAACGATGATGTGTTGGTGTCAGGCGGAAATGATTGTCAGATCTCACTGTGGGACCTGAACAAATCGGAACAATATCAACCTCAAGAACATCAGTTGGTAACCAACGGCCATGGATCGGTCACCTTGGACACCAAAAATGCCACTATTTCAGAGCTTTGTAAAATACGATCCATCAACCACAGTGCTAAGATCAACTGGTTGAAACCGTACACGGTCTCGGGGCAGAATTTTGTCGCTGCTGCAGATCAGACATCACGCATATCGCTGCTGTCATTAGTTTAGTGGAACAAACAGAATGACACTGAGTCTCTCTTCCAATTAATGGCCTTTTCCAACCACACTCTGGCTGACAGTTTCATTTACTAAAGCATTGGAACTGTGGTATTCTTAGAATGGCTTCTTTAAAGTATTTATGATTGGATGAAAAGAAAGAGAGAGAAAAATGTATGTAAAAAAGATAAGTGAAATAGTTATTTCCATTCCTTGCAAATCTTCAACGATTTTCATTGCATATACATGTATGGTTTTAAAAAATTATATCTGTTTTTGAAAAAGACTCGTGAAGTTCATCTTCCTGAGGCAAGGGAGTTAACTGACTATAAAAGTCAAGTTTCCACCCTTGCTGAACTAGGCTGGAATTTCCCAGCTCGATCGTAGCACCACCAGTAACTATTCCCACCAGTTATGTCCCTCCCATTGACCAATTAGATTCCACCTTTCATATCACTTGCATTTGCTTCAAACAAATTGGCAGCGCCCAGTCAAGACAATCTGATTGATAATCAAGAACTATGTTGTTAATAAAACAGGTCTTACCTCGCGAAGTGCATCAAATCATGTGCGCACCTTGAATAAAAACATGAAAAGATTTGCAAAATACCTGTTGACGTTGATGTCCAGTTGACAGTACACATGCTTTGCAAATCACGCAGTCGACTGAAATCTGTATGTTGAAATACATGTTGTTTACAAACCGAATGTCTAGTTCGTTACGCAATTTTGATTGGATTATGCATAGATTCGTTAGTCCAGCCAAAATATAACTCCGGAATTCCATCCTAGTTTGTCAAGGGTGGAAACTAAACTTTTATACAATTAACTCCCTTGCCTCGGGAAGATGGTGAAGTTAAAAGTAAATAATCTCAAACGTTTTAGTTTATTCCTCAATTGTGAAAATTTGAGTCCATAAACTAAATAATGGAATACAAAGTGTCTTCATACTATGTTCTGACACAAAATGTTATTGCAACAACATGCTTCAGATTGCCATGGGTCCGAGGTCTTGATCCCTGAAAGTTTTTATGACCCTACATTTCTGGGCACGATCAGCCTCACCGCCCACCCATGATTTACATAATTAGCATGATTGATCAACAAGTCTACCAGCCGGAACTTGTAATTTGGCATTATTGTCAGTAGATTTTAGCATTAGCAGGACTAGCATGAGCTGATCTTACTAGACCAGAAGAAGCTTTACTAGACTCAGGGCTTTGGACCAGTGTCTAAAGTCCCAGACTGTATTTCATGCACAATTATTAATAATAATTAGGTTCATAATAATGCCATTAGTGGTATGCAAAGATAAAGTCAGATTGTCTCCCCTTGTTCATCATGCATTGCTGCATAGATGGCCAAAAGAAGCGTGAAACCAGGCTACCGTTGTCAGACCCGGGAAGATCTGGTGTAGAATAGGTCTTCAGCAACCCATGCTTGCCGTAAAAGGCGACTATGCTTGTCGTAAGAGGTAACAGCATCGGGTGGTCACGCTCACTGATCTGTTTGATGCAGGTCATCGTATCCCAATTGCGTGGATCGATGCTCATGATGTCAATCACTGGATTGTCTGGTCCAGCCTCGATTATTCACAGACCATCGTCATATAGCTGGAATATTGCTGAGTGCGGCATTAAACAAGAAACATACAAACAAACAAACATGGTAATTTTATCAGTAATTTTATCAGTCGGAAGCTATTGTATCATTATTTTTACTTCGTTTTCTGCTTCAGGTCCATGCTGCGACTTAAATACAATATCCAGTGTGTTACATCTTCTTGTTATTTGAATATACTGTAAATCTGGAAAGTTTTGCACCATGAAATTACTGCGAGTGGCTCACAATAGCCTTAACTGAAGAAGCTTTGGTTAAACCATGCACCTTTATTACAGTATTAATGGTAATACCAAAAATTGTTGACAGCCATAGAATATCAGTATTTAATTGAAAATATTTCATCAAAATCCTTGTTTCATCATTTTCATGATTTTATGCGATTGTATTTTAAAAAATAGGATTGTTTTGTAATAAAACACGTTTTATTTTATCCCCAAACTGATGATTTGTTTTAACAGTACATGAGGTGGTATTGACATTTACAAAATCATCACCATCAATCTATTTTCCTGTGAAGGGTTGAGGTGGTGATGTGTGGTGTCAGGGTGAAATTGCTCCACTAGTTATCTCCCTTGGTTGATGTGGATGTGAAGCACAGGTTGCTATGGTTATCAACATGTATCTTGTCTAGTGGTATGTCCGATATCAGAGCGGAATGTAATTCGGAGTAGATTGTAAGAGGAGTTACAATCATCCGTCCTGCAAAGCATGTTTTTGTTAATCTGTATACCACAACTAATTGAATTTAACAATTTACATATACCAGCAAACTAATATAACTTGAGTTTATTCAAGCTTTTTGTAATTGACTGCTTCAATTTAGCCAAGTGTATATAATATTTATTTCTTTGAAATTGAATGTGAAGTATCTGGATTATATATACTACTCCCCAGTTGAGGTGATTTGTATCTTTCGATGATACATGAAAATGATTCTCATAATATGTGAAGTGTATATTTAAGTATATCTAGCATATCTGATTATCCCTATCAAAAGTTGAGTAGTATAGTTATACTTGTGTTTCTCACAACTAAACCAGCTCAATACATCCAAATTTGTATCACATCTGTAATTAGTTGTAAAGAACGCCCCATTCAAGTTCAGCCACAAATTCACTTTGTGACATTATCTACTGATCACTCACTGTGAGGGGGGTGGTTGGGTAGCCTTGTGGTTAAAGTGTGCACTCGTCTGAAGACCTGGGTTCGACATGGGTGCAATGTGTGAAACCCATTTCTGGTGTCCCTCGTCGTGATATTTCTGGAATATTGCTAAAGGCGGCGTAAAACCATACCCTCTCACTCACTATGGGCATGTTACCTTGAAACACAAGTGTATTTCTTGGCCATACAGGTATGACATTATAAAGAGCCAATGTAATTCGTCTTTAGTATTTTGAAAACTAGAACGTGGTTCCGGTCACCTGATTTGGCTTTGATAGATTGGCAGTTTTTCTTGCCACAAAGTAAGGATAGGCTCTGCCTGTTTATTTAAGTATACGTGTATAAGTAAAACTCATTTCAAGAAATTAATATCTTGGGCTTCAAAAGACAATTTGCGCAAACACAGTGCCAATGTACTCGGTGGGACTGGTGTTTTTGTTTATAGTTGTTTATGCATGAACATGAACATATGCTGTACTTTGAGAATAAAATATGCTGGCAAGTAGAGGAATGTGGACTTTGTGTCTGGAACTCAATAATTTGCACTTTCATCAAGCAAGAACTGGAGTCTACTGCCAAGTCAAAATAAAAGCGATTTTCATTCGGTCAAACTCAAACCAACCTGGTCTCAGAAAAAGTGCCGATTATGTAGAAATAGGATCGCGGCAATATGTTTATTATTAATAACAATTCTACCTCTGTTCAAGACATTTGAATTAGAATTGTTGCTGTAATTGGAACCACAAGGGAACTAGTCCTCGCCATTTTAAAACGTCTGTGGAATCGGTATTATTACAACCTGAAGGAGTAATTATGTAAGGCTGAAATGATGCACCAATGCATCACAATATTAAGACTTAATTTCATGATACACATTGCACTTTATGATGTATTTCATGACATTTTGAGTACATTATGAAACTTGATCTGCTGTCATGTAGCTGGAATATTGCTGAGAGCTGTGTTAAGCATCAAGCATACTTTTATACTGATCATTATTTGTGTTGTCTTCCAATAACATGTTCATATTGAATTTGATAAGGTAGTGCAATTTTATGCAGTTGTGTATCATGATGCGATTTGTAAACAGAGTAGGACTTCAGTGCACTGTCTCAGTCGTACAATTGTCAAACTGTTTTGAAAAATCCAATTCAGATCTTATATGTTAAAGTAACCAACCACATGTTGTAAGGTGACTAAACAGTGTGAACTAGATGTATTGTTAAACATTTGATAATAAAATTTGAAAAATACTGTCATAAATATCAAATTGTGTTTTGTCTGAGATCCTATTGAAAGATAAGCAAGTGAGGGAATGGTGTTTGTTGCTGCGGTCAGCAATTGTCACAGCAGCCAGCAACTGCCTCCATCATCTTGGCAATCTAGTGGATAGAGTGTCTGCCTAGAGAGCACTCATGATATCAATCACTGGATTGTCTGGTCCAGACTCGATTAATTACAGACCGACCTCATACAGCTGGAATATTGCTGAGTGTGGCGTTAAACAACAAACCAACCAACCTAGAGAGCAGGTGGGGGGTTTGATCCCTGGCCTTGTCATACCAAATGACATTAAAAGATGGTGCTTGTTGTTATCCTGCCTGGCACACATTTTACAGTTTACAGTAGGGGCGGTCGGGTAGCCCAGTGGTTAAAGCGTTGGCTCGTCACACCCAAGACCCGGGTTCGATTCCCGACATAGGTACAATGTGTGAAGCCCATTTCTGGTGTCCCCCGCTGTGATATTGCTGGAATATTGCTAAAAGCGGCATAAAACCATACTCACTCACTCACTCACTCACTCACTCACTCACTACAGTTTACAGTACAAGCAGGCAGGCATGCACTCACACACGTGCACGCACATGCTACATCAATGCAATATCCTTAGGAACGATGTTAAATCCATTTCACCCAACCTTTCACCTTTGAATGGCACAATGCTACAAATTGCCATCCAATCAAACTACTATCATTACCAAGAGATATTTTGTGCTGAGTGAGTGAGTGAGAATGGTTTTACGCTGCTTTTAGCAATATTCCAGCAATATCATGGCGGGGGACACCAGAAATGGGCTTCACACATTGTACCCATGTCGGGAATCGAACCCGGGTCTTCGGCGTGACGAGCGAACGCTTTAACCACTAGGCTACCCGACCGCCCCTTGTGCTGAGAGTCATGGATGTGCTGATCTGAGATACACAGGGTAATGGAGGGCGTCCTGACACATACAAAACGGAGTCGTCTTTGGCGCTATAATTTGCTTTACTGACGTGTCCCTTAGGAATGCAAGAAAGCTATGTCCTGGGTTTGAATCCCTGTTCGCCCTGATTAAATCTTAGTACCATACTGGTGCGTGGGTTTCTCCAAAATGATTATAGTCACTTACCTGCATCACTTTGGGCATTTCTTCAAAATCAAGCTGACAGGTTATGTTATCACTGAAATACTGTTCTTAGCACACTCACTCCAAACTCGCTTACTCATGCACAATAATTTATTGGTCTAGTGGAGTTACTTCAAATGCTTGTGTTGTGTCCCTTCGGGCTTCCATGATCCGATTGTAGGTTCGAACGTCAGATTTGTCCTTATGATAATCATTGGTTTTCTGCACCAACGTAGATAAATGTCTAAGGGCTCAGTGACACATTCAGGATTTTTACTGCCGTCCTTGATAGGACCATTCCCGATTAAAATTTGTGAAAAGTCTTATCAAGATCCTGTGATTCTTGGCGGGAAATTCACCATCAGATATTGTTCAGGAAGCGTCCCGATTCATCCGTTTCCAGCCGAATACGTCCGATTCTTCCGTTCTCAATCCGAGTCTGATCCGATTTGTATCTTCCGCATTGTAAAAAAACGACCGAATCTGTCCTGACAGCGTCCCGATTCTCCCGAATGCGATCCGACAGAGATCAGATAGTGACCGGAGAGTGAACCGACAAAGACGGATCGCATTCGGCAAGATCTGGACGCAATCTGGACTCCTTCGACAAGAAATGGCAATGAACAATTCATGCCCGTTCACCACGACAGCGCCCCGATCCACAGGACACCGTCCAGACAACACAGGACATTGTTACGATTTTGATCCAATACAGCAGAACCTGTCACGACATAGTCACGATTGTAATCGGACTAAACAAAATCGGATGAGTTTCCCGAATGTTACGGGACGCACCATACTCTCGGGACTGCTTGGCCGACCTCTCTGGACCTTCCCAAACCGTAGGACTCTGTTACGAACGTATACGACTGCGTTGAGACAATGATAGGACATTCCAGATCATTGAGGATAGTAATCCGACTTTTTCACTTTTCGTGTCATAGGGCTGTCTGATCTCAAACGGGAGCCATAATCGGCACTGTGTGAACCTGGCCTTAGACCTTGGCTTTAGGCTTCCCTGCACATTTCAACTGACAGCTGTCCAAAGCGGTGTCAAAACCAAACTCAATTCGAGCGAAGACCCTACGGTGGCGGATACAGAAGGGGTGTTTTTGGGGGGCACATCTGATGACTCTTTTATGCGCATTGCCTATACCATGATAACTGTTAAAGTAAAATTAATAATGATTTACATATAGTGTATACGTAATCTTGTTGGGAACGCCCACCCAAATAAATGAACCCAAAAGTGAGCCTCAGTGCCCCATGGTTGTCGTAGGAGCGTACCAAAAGAGGATTGGATGGTCACACTGTAGGAAATGGTTGATTGAATGTCTTTGCACACATCAGCGTGGAGCATTGTCGTTAGTATCAATAAACACAACATTGCAGCCTGCAGGGTAAACCATTCACTTACTCTCACATTATAACTTATAAACCCGGATATTGTCCATTGTTTTGGAGGTTACTGTTCTTTTCGTAATAACGTCTTAGGAGGTTTTAATTTTTCTTGATAAGACCGGGAATGATGTTTTACTTTTTCTGGGTAAGACCGGGTATGATGTTTTACTTTTTCTGGGTAAGACCGGGTATGATGTTTTACTTTTTCTGGGTAAGACCGGGAATGATGTTTTACTTTTTCTGGGTAAGACCTGATGCATAGCAGCTGAAGTTTTCTGTGGTCCAATGTTCTAAAATCGAAGACAAGAATTGAAACCTCATTATGGAAGATGGTAATCGAACCACAACCTCCTGGTCAGTTGTCAGACACTCTAACCATTAGGCCACCAAACTGGTTGAAGATAGGTGGTTCTGTAAACGTGCCATGTTCAGCGTATATGTCCTGGCTAGATATTTGTTCCGAGCGTTTCCTTAGTGACGCATTTTTATACATTAACACACTCGGAATAACCTAAAAATTTCCTGAAATCATAAGAGATATTAGTTTCTAGTAATAGTTGTATGATAATAATGAATGAGTTGGGAACACATTATGACCGGTTGTAAAGTATGATAGTTGATGTTATGACTGCTAACGATCTCGAAGGACGATAGGGGTAAGATGACAAATTTCAAAGTTGATGTTTTTGGATAAGTAGTGTGTAATAACGCTACGATTTGTCAAACATTCATTCACTCGAAGGACATTCCGCGTGTGAATCCTCTTGCAGCGCCTGGGCAAATAAACCCAAAGTATTCAGCGCCTGTGGCGTTGACGCACGTCTGCCTGTCATGTCCAGACGTGTTCATTGGGAGAAAGGTCTGGACTCAAAGCTGGCCATGGGATTATGGATATTGTGCTGCTGGGGGTGAGCGTTGTCGATTGACTGGGTTCGCTCAGTCATAGCGATGCCGCCCCAACCCATAACCAAACTCCCGACAAATCTGTCATGAGGTCTCAGCTGCCATTTGCTTAACGTTCATTTCGACGTCACAAGACACGACCACGCCTATCAAGGAAGCGCAAAGTGAGTCGGGACTCGTCTGAAAACATGACACGTGACCAAGGGTCACCTATATAAGTAAGCCAATTGATACTTTTGTAGCTTTTGTAAAGAGTCTGCTAACGAATAAGTGTACTCCGTTATTATTAACCTTTTCTCGTGGTTTCAACTTTAGAACGACTCAACACGCAATACTCTCCTGTTTAAGGACTGAAACGTGCCAATCTGTGAAGATCCGGGGTGGAATACGTCTTAAGCAACCCATTCTTTGACGTAAAAGGCCGCTATGCCTGTCGTAAGAGGCGGCTAACGGAATTGGGTGATCGGGCTTGCAGACTTGGTTGATGCATGTCATCGTATCCCAAATGCGTGCATCGATGCTCATGATGTCAATCACTGGATTTTCTGGTCCACCCTCGATTATTTACAGACCGCCGTCATATAGCTGGAATATTGCTGAGTGCGGCGCTAATCAACAAACAAACAAGGCGAAACTAATTCGTGCCGGTTTGGTTAAAAAAAAGAATAACAAGATAGGATATGTACGAATGTGGTTACGTGCAGATGTGCGGGTTAATGTCGGACGCATAAAAGCTCACCAACAGTGTAAACACTCACTTTGCCTATCGTCCATGGAGCGAATGCCGGAAGTGTCGCTGTGTGGAGCTCCTCAACACATGCCCGTTATTGTAGATCTACCTTCATTCAGACCTAACACACTCGTTTATTGTGCAGAACTGTGACAACACATCAACATGAGACTAACAAACGAACTATGCAGACGGAATATGGTACGTGTATGGAAGAAAGCATGGAAAAAATATGGCTCCTTTACCGAGTATCCTGTCAAAATATCGCGCGATAGGTTGAACCAAGGGATTGAGATCGTTGACCCTTCGAAGTCGCAAGAGTTGCCTAAGGTGACTTGGACGCCACCAGTGGAAGACGATCCGCGTTTGTGGCGGCCTATACCAATGGAAGAACAGACAAACTACCAAGATGAACCAACTCATCTGGTCACTCCCAAAACTCGTCTTCTGAAAGGCGTTCAACAGGCTAGTATCCTAGCCAAAGCTCACCAAATAAACGGATTTCCATCGAATGTTGAAAATCTTGTTGGGGCGGTTGAAATTCCAAATCAAGATAATCTTGTTCAACGGTATGTTATGCAGTCACAAGTTTGGGATCCAACACGCGACAAACTGCCAAAGAGAATAGACACACGTAAAGTAGGGTGGCATTTCCAAGCAGCGTATGGCATAAAGAATGAAAAATCATCAACCATTTTACTCGGCATCATGATTCGTCTCTGCCAGTCTCTTGCTGGAAGGTATCCAAGCATTGCTACAGATCGGCGCCTTCTGTATAAGCCATATATTGGAACCCACTACTTCCATGAGGACAACATGGTGTCGGTTCAAGGACTATATGAATATCTTATATCTGGTCAGAAAGGTTTGAAACCTTTTGCAAACGAAGATGAGGTTGATGCAACAGTAATGGAACCCCTGGCTGACATAAGTCCGATATCTCCCTTGATTGATCTGTCACCAACAAGCTGTTACAGCATGGATACAATCACACATCTAAAGAAACCTCACAGTCACGGAGTTCCACAGACACTCTTCATGCTCAACAAGAATTACTGGAGCACAGACCAGCGCCAAGCTCGTAGCCTTCTCTTCTGTCTAGCCTCAGCGTTATCACAGGCCAGGAAACTGTACGGAATAGATGTCAAACAACTGCCAGAACCTGTCAGTGTTCAGTGTGTTAACATGGATCCTACGACTATCAACTTTATTTTCTTCCAGCTGAACACAGCAGACTTTAAGTCCAGAGATGGCGTAAAGAACATGGCTTGGTTCAGTGGGGATCATCATTTGTTTAAGAAGGAGCTTTCACAACCGTGGTTAGGCGAGGAATATGAAAAGACAAAGTACATAGACTATGAGGCAGATGTTTTCAAAAGATTTCTAGCTGTGTTTCTCAATGGTTTGCCTGGAATTCATTCAGATGAAATCCAGTCAGAAGTGAATTCAGCACGGTCCTAGTTTGAGTTGTAGGAAGATGCGAGAGCACATTTTTTAATGACGCGGACATAGGTTTGAGTAGTGGGAATTCCTGACAATTGTTGAGTATGTGCAGTGTTCACATAGACATTTATTCAAGTCTGAAGAAACATGGTTGAAGAATTATATGCTTCTTAATGTTCTCTGAATTTATTGTGTTATAACTGATATAAATATCTGTGTTGCCAAATCTGAACATGTACAGTGTCTTTGTAATAAACATAGCTGGATGTTTCTGAGCCCTTTAGGAACCCAAGTTAGAAAAGGTTCCGTGCTATCTATACTGGTTATGAGAGGCGACTTAATGGTTTGTGTGGTTGCTCATTTTGTTAACCACTAGATTGTCTGGTACAGACTCGATTATTTACAGACAGCCATCATATAGCTGGAACAGTGCTGAGTGCAGCAAACACATGCATATCACAACAGGTACATGTTTCAGGAAGTAAACATTATGCAACACAGACAGTATAGGACAGTTTTTGTTTCTTGTTTATGCCAACATTTCTGTAATAATCCAGCTACCTGACGGTGGCCTACGAATGCATGAGTCTGACCAGACAAACCAGTGATTGATATTATGAGCAATGTTCAACATTTGATGACATGCAATAAACCAACCATGACCCAGAATGACCACAGTAGTAATGGCTTGCATCCACTTCCAGACATCTTCCCAAGGCAAAAGTCCAGTTTCCACCTTTGCCGAACTTGCCTGGAATTTCCAGGCTTGATTGTAGCACCACCAGTGGCTATTATGAGTTATGTTCCTTCCATGTCCTTCCTATTGACCAATCAGATTCCACCTCTTATCACTTTCATTTGCTTCAAACAAAATGGCGGCGCTAAGATGATATGATTGATAATCAAAATCTATGTTTTAAAAAAACGGGTCTTAACTCATGAAGTGCATGAAATCACGTGAGCACCTTGATTAAAAACATGAAAATACTTGCAAAACATCTGTTGGCACCTAGTTGGCAGTACACATACTTTGCAAATCCTGCAATCGACTGAAATCTGCATGTTGAAATTCATGTTGTTTAGACACTGGATGTCTGGTTCATTTGACTGGACTATTCATAGACTCGTTAGTCCTGCCAAAATTTAACTCGGGAATTCCAGCCATGTTCAGCAAGGGTGCAAACTATTTTTATAGTCAGTATACGCCCTTGCCTCGGGAAGATGCTTCCAGAAAACTTGTCCTTATGATGATCACAAGCTCTTTAAACGCCAAAACAATTTACTTTCTTGAATGACTTGACATTCAGGCTTTGAAGTGTTGATTTGTGGTGGATAGAATGAAAGTAATGCTATTGAGAATGTCAGTGTGAGGTGATTAAACATTTTTGTATATTACAAGACAATCCATTTGACAAGTCTTTGTGAATTGTAACTAGCCGCGGGTCGACGGGATAGTATTGGTGTTCGATGCTTGAGACAGATAGCTGACCACCAGGAGATGGTTTAACGCTGCACTTAGCATCATTCCAGCTATATGACGGCGGTCTGTAAATAATCAAGTCTGGGCCAGACAATCTAGTGAATGACGTCATGAGCATCTATCTACGGAAATTAGGATACAATGACATGCATCAACCAAATCACCAAATAGTGTTCTGATTCCAACCTAGGTGAAATGGGGTTTAATGTCAAGTCAAAGATTATTGCACTTATATGCAGGTGTGTGTGTGTAGCTGCTAGTACTAGTCCGGACTGATGCCGATTTATAGTGCTAGCTCACTGTGATACAATGCCACAGTTTAACATGAATACCCCACTCAGACACAGTATACTGACTCCGAGCCGACCAGTCCTTGTTTTAGCCCCTTTATGCCAAGTGCCAGGCAGGGTAACAACAAGTACCATCTTTTAATGTCTTTTGGTATGATGAAGCTCTCTGGGGACGCTAGTCGACTCTGACCTAGACAGGGTCACAAGAAGTATTATTTTTTAACGTCTTCTTTAGTATGACTTTTGGCGCTCTCCAGGTGGGCAAACCCTTGTTAAGTGTGACAAAAATCTAAATTCACAGATCTATACATCTGGACAATGTTAAGCATCCCCTGACATTTTTCATTGACTAATGAAACAAGTGCTGGAATTAAATGAAAACAACCCTCCGACAATAAGAAGTCCCCAGCTGAGGTAAGATTTGAATTGCAACATTGTAGCACAACCACTGGGGATGTTTTCACCTCTAAACAATATCCCTTCATACCCACTTGTCGAAAGAGGCGACTAACTGGATCTAGTGGTCAAGCTCGTGGACTTGGTTGATGCATGTCATCGTATCCCAATTACGTGGGTCGATGCTCATCATGTCAATCACTGGATTGTCTGGTCCAGAATCGATTATTTACAGACCACTGTCATGTAACTGGAATATTGCTGAGTGCGGCGTTAAACAACAAACAAACAAACTAACAAACAAAATCAGGTGGCTATATCTGGATACAAATGTCACTTTAAGTCACAAGATGCCACCTGTAGTTCAATGCTTCAGGGGGGGAGTAAATCCCCGACGTGCCCGGATGACAGCCTCCACCCTGCGGATCCATTCGTGACCAACTCGTGTTATTCCGGGACAAGCCGAATATGTACGTTACGGAAAGGGGCGATTGGTGACGAATGCCTGCCGATCATCCCTCCAGTCAGACGTCGGATCTGTTGAACGGGCAACCACTCACGATGCAGAACTGTTTCCAATTCATGCAAACGCTGCACACCAGGCTGCAGTGCCTGTATACGATGCCCAAGGATGTCCCAAATGTGTTCCAGCAGATTCAGATCCGGACTCATGGGAGGCCAAGGCAGTCGTTATAGTGTTGTTCTTAGGGTAGGCTGTCATCCATGAACTGGCGTCTTGTGAGTGGACGACAACTGGCTGCAGAGCATATACTGATTACACGTGAGGTTGCCTTGCATGGTGACCAGGTCCCGCTTAATTGCAATCGTGCGAGATACACCGTGCCATCACCGAATCTCTCCCCTCCCGCGTAGTTCAATACCAACGTTGCTTTATCCAATCATAAGAATACATATCTGGAAATGAATGCCAATTCATTCATTTTGCTACAGGATTTGCCGTATTAAGCGCCATAATCTTGACCAAAATGTACGTAATTTTATTAGCACACCTGTATAAAACATGAAAGTTACATGACAGTCCATATTTTCTAGCGCATATTACACATTTCTTACAGAAAATAAACAGGGCAGAACGGGCACGTATTAGCAATTTTTTTAGTTTCATTAACGTTTGAACCCAGTTCGTTCACTATTTTGAAAGCTCGATCTCAGAAAACAAATTTAATTCGGCGTTTATGGTTTTAAAAAGCGCTCTCCTTTGACCTTCTAAGTGCCCGGTCGCTTATATATGGCGAACACAACATTTCCAATTTTGAAGCCATTATTTTGTTTGTTTGTTTGTTTGTTGTTTAACGCCGCACTCAACAATATTCAAGTTATGTGACGATTGGGTTTTTTTGCGAAGAAAAAACTCATAATTTACAAGGGACTTACATTTTTAGCAATTATTCTACTCCTTCATATTCACATACACTTTCAAATAAGAAAATGTAGGGGTTATAAGAATATGCTGGACAGATATTTGTAGTTTTTGGATAGTTCACTTATGTCACATAGGCTACACCCAAAAAACAAAAAAATATTTAAAACCCAATCGTCTGACCCACTGCCTTTCCTTTTTAAAGTTAATGTTCATCTTTATGCATATTATACATTTTTGTGAAACAAATCTTACCATCAACACGTATCACCGAAAGAGCTTGCTACGTTCACTATCACATCATTCGAAATAGGTGAGCTTCAGAGCTTCCTCTCTGCATTAGTTTTGTTCGTTTATGAACTCTATTTTTTGTGTAATTATCTTAAAATTTGATTATATACAAAACGTAGTTGGGTGAATATCCATAACTGAACCAGAAAAAAACAGAAAAGAAAATCAGAGAATGCGTGGGGAAAATATCTGAAATGCCATTTTTACTGAGAAATTTTGAAACCATTTTGTACAGTGCTGTTTTCAGAGAAATACTTTTTAAGAGTAGTGAAATAATCATTTGTGTGCGAGTATAAGTAGTAAAATATCAATTTACATGAGTCGTCGCATACTATTACTTATTTTTTAGATCTCCACACTGAGACAATAAAATAGAACTTTACGAGAAATTGATGTCGTAAATATATACCAGAAAGCAATTTGCAGACCGACTTCCGGCGAGTCACTTTACGGTCAAGAACATGGGGTTCTATTATAAAATGTGTGTCGCTGTTGGGCTTATTGCCCTGGCCCACGCGGCGTATTCGGCGGCACAACGTAAGATATTTGTGTTATTTTGACAGAAGAACGTTTGTAATCACACAGCTTAATTTTATGTCTGTTTACCTCCATGTTTCACCCTCACGCATGCTCACGCGTTTTGGCAAAGATGAAATGTCTTGATTAGATGAATTTCTTTTTTGTGTGAGGCAACAATGCAGGTTACAGGACGCAGCTTGTATGTCCCAAATTGTCTCAGGCTGCTGGCTGTGGCTCTCGCTTCACAGATCTCATGTGCCTCTTTGATCGTTAGGGTTGGATTTTGGAAGGTTACCCATACACTATCCTTAACCGTTGGATGCCCTTTCCGATCAAGCACCCCTTTACTATCATTAGAATAAGGTACCCCTTTCGGATCAAACACTCACGATCCTTAGGGTTGGGCACCAATTTCTAATTAAACATCCCTTTAAGAACCTTAGTGACCGCCTCCATGGTCTAGTGGTAGTGTGTCTGCCCGGGCCCGAAGGCCCGGGTTCGATCCCCAGCTGCATCGAACCAAAAGACATTAAAAGATTGTACTTGTTGTTACCCTGTCTGGCGCTCGGCATAAAGGGGCTAAAACAAGGACTGGTCGGCTTGGAGTCAGTATACTGTGTCTGAGTGGGGTATTCATGTTAAAACTGCGGCATGGTATCTCGGTGAGCAAGCACTATAAATCGGCATTAGTTCAGACTAGTACAAGCAGCCGCACACACGCACACATGTGCATGCACATCACTATATAAGTTCAATAATCTTGGACGCGCCGTGAAACCCAATTTCATCTCACCTTTAAGAACCTTAGGGTTAGGCACCTCTTTACGATCATTAGTCTGGTTTGGGCTTAGTTGTTCTTTTAACAATTTAATCGAATGTAATTTGGTAGGAAACTCCATGCAGTTTTTATCAAGTTTCAAGTGTCACAGAGAAAATGACTTTTGCGCATACATATAGAGGTAAACATTCGAGTGTTGATGACCTTGTAAACGAGCACTAATTATTTGTGATAGCACCTGTGGTACCATGGTAAAGTGTAGGCTAATTGCATTAACTCGTAAGACAAGCATAGGTTCGAACGTGAGTTCGATCCTCCACTCAGCACGACTTAAAATCTGAAAAAGTGTGCCTGGTAAAGTGTACCACTCCCATTACCGAACTCAAGCAGTCGCAACATTATGTAAATGGGATCCAAGAATTTAGATGGATTAGCAACAAAGCTGTTTACAGGGTGCAGCTTAGTCTCGCACATTTGGCAGTTTGTAATCACATTGCAATCACTTGAGGAAACATTGTGCACTTAAAAGGAGATCATGTGACAGTTAATTTATAATTAGATCCTCACTTCTTAGTTACGAGGGGTTGCTATAAAGTTTTGAGCCCAACTGCGAAAGATGTATAATACCCCCTTAACTGTTTCCATGTACATATATTAAGTGCAATAGTTTCCATGCTTACAGGCCGCATTTCAACCAAATACACAACCAGGCAGCATATTTCTGCAGACATCAAAGTGACTAGGTATTATCTGTTGATGTGAATGAACACATTTGGCTACCATGTTGTCATCAAGTATCTCCTACTGAAAGGGCTAACTCCACCACCCAGCAGGGGCACGGGTGGCCCAGCCGTCTAAGGCGCCGCAATTCGCTGTGCAGAGTTGCGTGCCTTGGGCATGCCAGAAACCTATGATTGTAGGGTTCGAATCCCGATTCGCCCCGATTACGTTTCTAGGTTTGTCAGCATCATACCCGTGTACCGAAGTGGTAGACATCTTAGACCTGCATCACTTCGGGCTTTCCTCCCACATTAAGCTGACATGCTGTGATATAACTAGAATAATGTTAAAAGCGGAGTTAAGCTCAACTCACTCACTCACTCACTCACTCCACCACCCAGCCATGCGAACATGGTGAACACTTAAAGGGATGGTGCTCCTTCCTGTTGAGAGCTAGGCAGTGGAAAAATCGAAAGAGAGCCTCGAAGAGGATCCAAGACTTTTCAACTGCCACCACTAAGGAAAATGTTGATAAGTTATATGATATGATTATGGATGATCAACAACTCACCACACGGGCATGAGAAAGTAGGCATGAGAGAGTTGAAAACTTTCTTGAGGAATGAACTGGGTATGAAGTTTCAGCACGCTAGGCTCCAAGGCTTCAGACTCCTGATCAGAAACGCTCCAGGTTCATCATCTCTCGTGAGAATTCAAGTTGTTTTGAAGCAGACCCACCGATTTTGTTAAGGGATTTATAACTATGGATGAGTCTTTGTTTCACCACAATCAGCTAGAGACTCCGCGTCAGAACCCCAGAATCAGGACAATGCCTGTTGTGGCCATGGCTGCGATGCATGTCTGTGGCTTTGACCACTTTGAACATCCTCAGTACACCTGATTTGGCACCTTCAGATTTCCTCCTCTTCCAAAGCTTGAAGAAAGAACTGTACAAAACATTATGCAAATCCAAATGACATCATTTCTGTAGACTTGCACAAGTCTCTAAAGCAAAAGTTATTGGTTTGGATCATCATTTCTAGATTATATTAATAAGAAGAAAAAGTTCTACCTAAGAGACTGGTGTCTGTCTATTTATCTAGACTTGCCTATTATAAGGATAGCATTACAAAAACGCCCATGGGCTTATCCTTCAGTACAGCCTTGGAGCAAGGCTATCATTTCTGCTGTAGAGGACTTTCTACACTTGTGGGATCCAGGCCCTGCAGCATTGTTGGACCTCGGAAGGGATGATGTTGAAAAATAATTAGCAACCAGCTTCATCAATGAAGTTTGTCATAGTTAGGCCCAGAAGTTTTCAGCCACCCTTCATACTTTTACTTCTAAGTGCCACTGAAAGATAAGTGCATGATAGTACTGACTCTCATTCAATGTCATTTTACTTACAGACAGAACCTACTTGCGGCTTACGGAGAAGGAATTTACACGTCTGCCTATTGATGTAAGTACCTGGGACCTACAGTGGCTTCAGTCATACCTGTTTAGCTAGACCATACATCAGTCTGTCCGCGCTGTATTCCGCAACTCCACAGTCATGCCCGCTCTGTGCAGAAATGTACCTGTAATGCAGAAATCACATTTTGTGCAGCACATGCAGAATTTTGTGTTTATCTGCCGCAGAATTAGTCAAATGCACTGCAGAATTTTGATATGTGAGTCCAAAGCTTGTTCTAAGCATGTAAATGGATATTTTTTTTGTTTTAAAGTGAAGTTGATTTTTGTATTATTGCTTAACGAAAGTGCATGTCTGTATGTATGTTTACTCTAGTGATCTCCAGAGCTATTCTAGCCATGGATAAGTTTATCATAAAAATGTCTGCCACAAGTCAAATGGGTGCAAAACTACCAAATTCACAAAAACTTAGCTGAAAAGTTTGCAAAATTGTTTTGCAGACTTTGCAAAATTTGGATGGAGAATTTACAAAAAAAATGACCATGAAATACAGTGGTGATTGATTATCGCTGTTGGTTGATTTATCGTTGCTAAGAGAACATGTCATCCTCAGAAACAATCACTTAGCGGTGGAAAAACCACGAGAAAACTCAAAAGTTATTAAATAACAAAAAAACAATGTTTTTGTTTCAGATCCTAGTGCAGTCCATCCTTGGTCTTCTGGCCATTGGCTACGGTGTTGTCAACGTTTCTGGCAGCTTCAGGGAAATCAAGGCTAGTGCGGAACTGGAGAATAAGTGAGTTGTGGTGTACCTTCCACGGAATTAGGGGGGCACAGGTGGCCATGTCGTGTTGACGCACAATGTGCTGTACAGAGTTCTGTCCCTTAGACGTGGCAGAATCTGATGAATGACCTGGTTTGTCAGCACAATACTCGCTGTCATTGGTTTACTTGCCTAAAATTCAATGCTATTATGTATTACGTTTTTAATAATATTTATCAACCTTAAAGTTTAGATTTTTCACAGAATTTTACTAACATGACTGGTTCCGTTGTCGTGCTCTGTCACCCAGACCCTAGAGAATAAATTAAAAAAGGAGTCCAACTCAAACCTAGAATGATTTGGCAAGTCTACATTGCCTCAGCTCTAGCTTTGAAATTAAGGAATGTTCTGGGCTCCATTTGGATTTTAAGACAACTGTATTTCTGGGACTAAATGGCAGGCTCCGGTTGTCATGGAAGCTTATGACATCAACCATTTATGAGATGTACTAACTTTTTCCTTGGAAGATTTCACGGTAGATTTGATACCTGTAAATTTCATTCTTAGGCTAAAAAAATTTATAGTCTTGGTTCTCAGGCACTGCCCACATCATCATAAAGTTCACTGCACGTTTCGTTTTTGTTTCCATTTGCAGTTTTTTGTGTGCATTGTGTTTTAGTATTTGGATTTTTATATTTTTTTAAAAATGGAAATAAAAAAACGAAACGTGCAGCAGACTTTATGATGATGCAGGTGGTGCCTGAGAACCAAGGTTATTATTTTTTATAGCCTTAACAATGACAAAATAAATACAGATTGTACTAATATTGGATATGGTATTGATGTGGCATTGGGTGAGTGATATTGCCGGAATATTGCTAAAAGCGGCGTAAAGCCATACTCACTCACTCTATATGTATCAGGGGCGTAGCCTAGTGGTTAAAGCGTTTGCTCGTCACGCCAAAGACCCGGGTTTGATTCCCGACATGGGTACAATGTATGGAGCCCATTTCTGGTGTTCCCCGCTGTGATATTGCTGGAATATTGCTAAAAGCGGCGTAAAACCTTACTCACTCACTCTATATGTATCAGCCCACACTTCATGATGCTCATGAAGTAATTACTTATCTATGTTGCATTTCAGAACGTGGGAGATGTTGTCAAACAGACAAGCGTTCTACGTCTTCAACCATCGCGGAAAAGCTCTGTTCCAGACAGAAGAATGAGGCCATGGATGTTTGATGTGTGACAGATCTGTGATGGATGTTTGACGTATGACAGTGGAAGAATATCTGGTGATTCAACAGAGGGGCATCATTCATACAGTGTTAATGTTGGAACATTCACTGTTAATGATGACAGTAATTGTGGCAGACTTCAATTTCATTGGAGCAAGGCACACAGTTTGCACTTCCTGTGTAGAGTTACGTCCCTTGGCTGTCAGGATCCGCTGTTCGTTGGTTCGAATTTGATCTGATTCTGATCCAAGAACTATGGGCATCTTTCCTGTGTGTTCCATCAAAGGGGCATTCCACTATATTAAGCAGATATGCTATTACAAAGTGAGATTAAACTCACTCACTCATGAAACTTGTAAATTGTGCATTTATGTACCCGTATGAAAATAGACACAAAACCGAAGTGGAAAACTTTCATTAAGAATTGACTTTCACATTTTTCTAGACTAGTTTCTGAGGGAGTTATTTTATAGACTTATTTCGTTATTATATTGGTAAATTTGATAGTTCATTATTGTTGTATGATTGACAGGTTTGTACTGGGTTCCATGCTGTAGTTTCAAAATATAGGGGGAGCAAAATAAGAAATGACCTTAGGTCTTTGTTGACAAAGGTCATAGATTGCTGTCTACGAATCTTTGTTGTGAACGTGAATATATGAGAACGCTGTAGTCGTCATCTTGAATAAATGTCAATGTCATGTAGGAAATACTTGTTTTTATGGTAACTATGGTAACTGTGAATGTCCGTGAAAAACATGTTCCATCAGAAAAAATATTTTGAAAAGAATATTGATTATATGAGCGTGTGACTTGTAAATAAGTATGAATGTTGTTGACTGTTTCCTTTTTGTTGATATGTTGTTTATGTGATTAATTTAACAGCTCATTCTGCTCTACATTGTAGGAATATACTTAAACAATATGGCATTTAGGACCAGTAATATTGTTTTTATATGACTATGTTACCATGGTTACTATGTCATCCTTCCAGGTACCCTTTCACACATGGTCACTTGCCCAATGAGTCAGCAGTGTAACTGTTTCATAGTAGGCAGAATCCAAGCCCTATAAACTCGAAGATGTCAAGGTCTGTTTGCCCACCTACTAAACTACTTGCCGTGTAAATTATATCAGTTTAGGCTTTTCAAAATTTATTTGTCATGCAACATTTGTTATGTTTTTAAAGCAGTTCGACTCAATTTCGTTTTTGCACCGGATTCCAAGTTTTTGCACAAGTCATGCCATTCTAAGTGTGTCCAAGTCACAGGGGATTTAGCTGTGGCCACCATCGGCCCGTCTCTTCATGCTTCAGGGGCATGACCAAAAGAGATGAGGAAGCAAAATTTCTTTATAATTTTGTAAACTAATAACGAACTAAAGGTAGAAAGTAAATTCCTCCCTCCATACGTAGTTTTAAGTTGACATGACATGAGATTATGTATTTAACTCCCTAGACTTTCCTCTCATTGGTATCATATAATTGCCTAGTTCCTTGATGATCTGTCTTAGCAAGAGCTAGTGCCTATAACATGAACAAGTCATGGAACCCTTTTCTCAGATTTGAACTATGTGTATGGAAGTTGTGAGTGTATATTTAGATTTTAGTCCTCCACCAAATCCTAGATTATGAATACTGTATTGTAAATGGTTTTTTCTACAGTATCAGTACTTCACAGGTTTTGTTTATACTAGGTTCCTCCATCATTAGTTGTGATGTGTAGTTAACTAAATAGGCCTGAAGTTAAATGAGCTGGTTGTTGTACAATCCCTTCCAATACCTGACGCTGAAGCAATGTCTGGAGCTGATGTCCGCATGGCTGAGACACATGTTTTAAAAGAAATATTGCCATTTTTGCAAGTCTGAGCCCTCGTTTGTCCAAGCACTTGCAGGTTTTCCACTTGCTTCAAACAGACTATTTCTGGGGGGCTGGGCGGCCAGTCATCCAAGGCACTGCAAGTCTCTGTGCACAGCTGCGTCCCTCGGGCACACCAGAAATCTATGACTGGGTTTGAATTTTGGTTCGCCCTGAGTTTGTTTCTTGGTTTGTCAGCACCAGACCCATGGATTTCACAAAAGTTTCACCTCCATCGCTTTTGTTTTTCTTCCCACATAAGCAGACATGCCATGATTAAACTGAAATACTGTTTCTAAGCGGTGCTGAATCAAACTCGTTCACTCTCCGAACACGTCTTGATTCGTTGGTTAAAAGTAGCAACTAGACTGCAAGTGTCTTCACAGCTGATTGAGGAATGTGGTGTATACATATGCGTGTGAAGTACTGTCGATGAAATGATGACTGCTGTAGCGTCACCGTCAGTGTTATTATTCCAGTGACATAGCCAGAGTATGTAACATTGTGTACGTGTGAACAATGATACTGATCCCGAGGCCAGAGTATGTAACATTGTGTACGTGTGAACAATGATACTGATCCCGAGGCCAGAGTATGTAACATTGTGTACGTGTGAACAATGATACTGATCCCGAGGTCAGAGTATGTAACATTGTGTACGTGTGAACAATGATACTGATCCCGAGGTCAGAGTATGTAACATTGTGTACGTGTGAACAATGATACTGATCCCGAGGTCAAGGATGTAACATTGTGTACGTGTGAACAATGATACTGATCCCGAGGTCAGAGTATGTAACATTGTGTACGTGTGAACAATGATACTGATCCCGAGGTCAGAGTATGTAACATTGTGTACGTGTGAACAATGATACTGATCCCAAGGTCAAGGATGTATGTGCATGTAAAACGCCATCGCTGTATAGACTAGTGATTCATGTTGTATTTACTTCTCTCTGTGCTGTATATGACCCATGCAGAACTTGAATAAAGAAACACCTCACATCCTGAGATTCCTACACCGTTTTGCTTTTTTTTTGTTGTTGACATTTTTTATTCCTTTCAAAGGGTTGTACATCAGGTTCAGAGGTTACACAGTAGGTTTAGTCAATTGTCGTGGTCTTGTGGGAGAGCGGAAGGTCCGGGGTTCGATCCCCGACCGCGTCATACCAAAAGACGTTAAAAGATGGTACTTGTTGTTACCCTGTCTGGCGCTCGCCATTAAGGGGCTAAAACAAGGACTGGTCGGCTCGGAGTCAGTATACTGTGTCTGAGTGGGGTATTCATGTTAAACTGCGGCATGGTATCTCAGTGAGCTAGCACTATAAATCGGTATCAGCCCGGACTAGTACAAGCAGCCACACAAACACACACGCGTACATGCACGTCGCTATATAAGTGCAATAATCTTGGACGAGACGTTAAACCCAATTTCACCTCACCTCACCTACACCGTTTTGCTTGATCATTGCTAGTCTGTCATACAGAACCTGAAACAAGTATATCCGATACAGCCCATGCAAGTCTAGATTACTGCAGCATCTGAAAATGAGTTTCCGAGCTCATAACTATAATTTAACAACTGTTGTTATCTGTAAAATATGTTCATTTCAGGGACTAGATGTTAATGCTTTTATTTAGGTAATGAGGCCACCGGCCCATTATACACGTGCAGAGCATGATGGCATACAAATATGACAGAGCGCTGAATTATAAGATTTACAATGCAGTGTTCAAACTGTTAATATTGGAGTTAATTATATGACACAGGTATTCCCTTGAAAATGGAATTACGTTTCTTACCAGCAAGAAATACATATTTTGCTAAATTGTTGCAAATACTTTGATTAGTCGAGCTGAATAATAAGAACATTTTCTCACGACTTGGAAACATGTGATTATAATTGGGTATGAGATTAGACCGCAGATCAAGATAGAACGGACACACCATACAAAAGTGGAACTCATCTTCGATAGCACTTACAACACAGAGGGGACAGAAACGTTCATGTCTTGGTATATTATGATATCTGCCTGTTTCAACCATAAGACGATGATTGGATCCGAGAAAATTCAAGATATTAATTCGAAATAATGTTACATCAATTAATCGAATCCAGTTATTATATGAAAATTTATCCCTTACTGCAGAGAACAATTCAAGCTTAGAACAAGATTCACAATTATTTTGCAACACTTGATTTTCAATGTCTACGCTCCTTTGCCTAAACTGATGTAAGAATAAGTCAGATCTACCAACACCCCGTTGTAGCCATACCTCTGCAAATCCGTAAGAAAACAGCAATGATTTAACCTTGAGTGCCCAGCAAGCGTTGCCATTCTCTGCCCTTTTATATTGAAAACTATATGTTTTTTTCAAAATCAAATTATTATCTTGTATCAATAGTCGAAGCCAAAATTTTATAATTTTTAAATAATGTGACACTTTGACGGAGTTTCTCATCAAGACAGATTTTACAAAGCTATTTGGTGTTAGTCAAGGTCATTGCATTAATTTTGTGAGGGCTTCCAAGTTACATTACCCCATGATTCTTGTAAGGTTAGAATATTCATAGGATATTCTTGTCGTATGACTTGATGGAAGAGGTCAGGCTCTGCAACTTGGAGGATTGCATCTCAGTGACCCTGATGGAGGACATTGATCATGCTATCAATCACTGGATTGTCTGGTCCTCTTATTGACAGGCCCTCTTCATGAAGCTGGAATATTGCTGCATGAGGTATAAAAACATATACTGAACCAAATTAAAAACTTCACAATCCTAAAATTTTAACATTTTGACCAGTTATCATTGTGGGCCCTTATTGTGTATTCAAACAGTAATGGCCACGTATAATAATTTTCTTCAGATAACACCCGTTTTTGTGCAGGTGAATCGATCAAAGTCATGTGCACAGCACTATAGTGGCAAAAGTGTTTTTTCACGTGCAACTGGTCACGTGGCCATAATACTGCAAAAAAAGAAAAAACACAAGAAAACAAAAGTCTTTATGGCCATTTGTCAAGCCACGCCTTTCAAATGTGCAACGTGAACGTGCCATCGGCATGTTGCAGACGGGAACGTCCGTAGCTGAAGTCGCAAGGACGATGGGTTGTAGTCGACGGACTGTTTATGATTTACAGACGCGTCTACAGCAAACGGGTACCACCGCTGATCGCCCTCGGCCAGGTCGACAACGTGTGGCGTCACATGCAGAGGATTGTCAGATTGTCTTACGTTGTGTACAGGAAGTTGACAGATTTCAAGGCGGAAGTGTCATGGTGTGGGGTGCTTTCTGTGGCAATGCACGTTCCAGGCTTCTTGTCATCTGTGGCAACCTCAACGCTGCTGCTTACCGCAACCATGTACTGGCACCAGAACTTCTGCCTTTTATGGCAACACATGGACCCGGTTTGATCTTCCAACACGACGATGCCAGACCCCACACAGCAATTTTGACAAGGAATTTCCTTCAGAATGCGGGAGTCCACGTCATGGACTGGCCGTCAAGGTCTCCCGACCTCAATCCCATCGAACACGTCTGGGATGCTCTTGGCAGAAGTCTGCGCACTCTCCAGAACCAACCACAGAATTTGCAAGATCTTGGCACCATTTTGCAGCAACAATGGCGTCGTCTTCCCAATCATGTGTTCACAAGCATCTCAAGGTCCATGTGGAGGCGTTGTGTGGCAGTTGTCAACGCACATGGTGGCCATACACGCTACTGAACTTGTGTGCCATCAGATTCTCGTGCTTGGGACATGATTTAAACTGTTGATGTTATTACCGAATACCGTAGGTGCTTGGAACAAATTATGGTTACCACCGTTAATTAAAATCCTTCTTTGGACATTAATGATAAAAAATTACCTTCTCTGATACATTTGTCCGTTGTATATCATAGATGGGATTACTTTTAAAAATGTGAAGTTTTTAATTTGACTCAGTATATATATATATATATATATATATATATATATATATATATATACATGTATATATATATATATATATACGTAATGCCATTATTCAACAATTCACTCATTTGTAAAGATGGTGTTTTACACTAGTTGGCAATAGTTTCACTAGGTCTGGGGAAGAATGAGTCTAAAGTTAGTGTGAGTGAGTTTGATTTTACGCCGCTTTTAGCAAAATTCCAGCAATATCACAGCGGGGGACACCAGAAATGGGCTTCACACATTGTACCCATGTCGGGAATCGAACCCGGGTCGTCGGCGTGACAAGCGAACGCTTTAACCACTAGGCTACCCGACCGCCCCCTAAAGTTAGTGCAGACTAAAGGTCATCAGACTCCATGACTTGCTGATTGTGCCATGCTCCATTGCTTTCAGTGTCTGATGCTGTGTGAAGATCCAGGTTAGAATTGGTATTCAGCAACTCATGCTTGTCGTGAAAGGCGACTAAATGGGATCGGATGGTCGGCCTCGCTGACTTGGTTGATGCATGTCATTGTATCCCAATTGTGTAGATCGATGCTCATGATATCAATCACTGGATCGTCTGGTCCAGACTCGATTATTTACAGACTGCCGTCATACACCAGGATCTTTGCTGAGTGTGGCGTTAAAGAACAAACAAACAGTCCCTTGGACTATTTTGAGGCAGCGTGATGTAGACGAGAGCGTGACTGGATCGTGCTGCCTAGCAGGGACATTGACAAGCTAAACACAAGTGTATGGATGTATTCTAGTTTATTGTCCCTGTTGGGAGACACTCCTCCCAGCTGTGTTTCTACAAGATACGTCACCATTGTACAGTGTAACCCAAGTCAGAAAACACCTCTCAAACACAGGTTGGAAATAGAAGAAAGAATGATTTTAAAATAATGCTAACACCTGCATCAAGAAAGTTCCTATTGCTGAATTACAAGTTTATGAAAGGAAACTGGAGCTTACCAATTAAGTACGTTAACCGATTAAATACATTTTTATGTAACTATGTTAACAAGCCTAAAAATTCATTTAAGTTGCATTGATAGGTTTCAAATAATTTTGATGATTCAACCATTATGTAAATGACTGACTTCTGACAATTTTGAATTAAGATTCGACTGTAGAAAGACATCTTTGTACACATCCGATTGACAATTTCAGCAGAACTCACACAAATCAGTGATAATTTGCAAATATAAAAGAATAACGTCAGGAATTTTAAAAAACAAAATATACACACTTGCATGCCAAAATATGGCCACACCCTTTCGTTCTGGTGTCCGGTGGATGAGCCTGTCCAATTACAAAAATAATGGTTACCGGTATTTTAAACATGCTAACCTTTTTTTCAAAAGATACATTTTTGGAAATAACTAGATCTTTCCCCTCAGTAGTTTGTATTTGGGCATATTGACAATGCAAATCCACGAACAGAAATGGTCTGGCCTAGTAGAAAAATAAAACTCTTCAGGTTAAAATTTCATACAACATTAATTATTCATGGAGCAGGATCACCAGGGTAATGACATTCTGTAGGCCTTTTATTTTTTATTAGTTGGTTTACAGATTTTTCGGCCTAAAATTCAATGTAGATGGCTGAAAAATAAAATAAAAACAATTTCAATGCCCAAATATGTACTGCTTCAAATAAATGAAAAACAAACAAGTTTAAACATAGCAAGATCCCAAACGATAACTGATTGTTTCTTTTAACAGAATAATTTTATATAAATATTATTCACCATTTCTTATAAACAACAGTGATAAAATCTTGTTTTTTTTACTTTGGTCAAAACAACAATTGTTAAGTCATACACTTATTTTCTAATTTCAGGGTTTTCTTGTCAGTTGGGACTCAAAAAAATATATAAAAAATAGAAGGCCATACAAGTGTCTTGTTTTCCATGGTATCAGAAGCACAACAATTAGACTTGGAAATAATGCCTTGTTTGGAAAGCTACTGTGAGATTGTTCCTCATGGAGCTGATACACAAACGCACAACACTAACAGGAAACAAAACAATTATACTCATCAACAAAATAAATAAACCAACAAATGACGACGCTGTGATGGAATGAGAATATTCAGTGATTTGGAACTATCTCAAATGTTACCTCGACGAAAATAACACTGAAATCAATAGATTGTAATGACAACTTCCGCAACTGTTAATCAAAATAGCTTGAAGGGTAACTTGTTATCTGAAGAACAAAACTGACTCTTGTGATATAAGAATAATACATAAACGTCTCTGTTAAGAGGAATTATTATAAACGTATCGCCAAAACTTGAATCACACCATAAACATGGGATATACCTTACAACAATGCAAGTGGGATATGTCTTTGAGACAGAAAAAGATCCAATCTTAAAAATATATACTTTCTGTGATTTGGGCACACTGAAACCTGTACAATGAAGAAATCGATTTCAAAACTTAACATCACATCTGTACACACATTTGTGAAGATATTTACAGAATAAATATCAAAGAATCTGTAATCTCTGTTCCCTCTGATTTTAATGGTTGTTAAGAAACCAAACAATACACAGTCCATGATGCCAACCCCAAATTGATGCAGTTCGGAAATATCTAGGATAAACAGGGTCGAAAATAAAAACAAATCTCCTCAAAACTAATAACCACCCCTAGTATGATTGGTTTGATAAAAAATAATTAAAAAATATTTTTTAGCCGTGTCATTTATTAACCAAACAAAAATTCTGAAAACTTTCCAATCATAAGTTAAAACAAGTGATTGTTTATTAATTCATTATTATTTGGTTGTATATGTGACAAAGCTTTAGAAAGGTCAAATTTGTCTAAGTATTGGCGATAATGTTCAACAAAAATCAAAATATTTTTCACTTTTTTGGTGGAAGTTTGGTTTAAAAAATTGCAATGATTCCGCCCAAATCATTATGGTTGACATCTCTAGGGATCAAAGAGGGATATGAACAGTAAAATTCTTCAAACTGATCTACCCCTCCCTGCTTCCTATCTCGCAGTATTATCTAACAAGAAAAACAATTCTTATCACAACTCATTGGGAATTTCAGTAATTTTAAATATGGCTTATCAGCAAGCTTTATTCACAATGAAACCAAATACATTCAAGGTATCAATTTTTATACAGTCTGCTTATTTAGGTTCAATATACTGTATTCGACATAATAAGCGCCCAGGGCGCTCTCAAAATTACAAATAGGGGACTCTTATTAGAATATTATTTTGGTTGAGTTGAAAGATAAATTTCGTGGTTTATGCTGACAGCCTGAAATGTTTATGAACGACAGATTTTTTTTTCCAGAATTTAATTGCCCATAATTAAGGATGCATATTACACACGATTATACGTGAATAAATAAGTCTTGTGTACATTGATCAATCGGCAGGAGTGCTAATTGGGATTGTTCACTAGCTAATATGTTAGCAATTATCGCCATGGGCGCTTATTACGTCGAATACGGTATATAAATTTAGGGACAAAATATGACAATCTTGATGATTAATCTTTATATATCTTGAATCAATCATAAACACAAAACAATCCTAAGCAAGACTGATCCATGTGTCCTTGGAGAACTAGAGGCAGTAATACAACCAGGAAAGTTGTCTTGTTTCGTGGCTGCTCTGGTTTAATATACCTCCCTAAACATTAAAATGCTATTTTCGTATAAAGGTGAAAAAGATATGTACATTTAGTATAATACCTGGGTACTCTCAAAACTAGGGGCATTTTTTAATGAAGATTTTGTTTAGGCTTAAAAAAATAACAGAATTGGATCTCAAGCAATGGTTTTTGAAAATATAGTGCGGGCAGGTGGTGTCTTTTGTTGTTGTTGTTGTTCAAACTAGTATGTTATCAATAAACAATTGTGTACAAACAACCTGGGAAAGGGCCTCCCTACATAAATGTATTCCTTGATGAGTAAAATACAGGAAGACAGTATTGGAATAACCAGTGGACTTGGAATATTTAAGGATTTTGGGTGGTTTTTTTACAAAATGGAAATAAAAACGAAATGTGCACAAACTTTATGATGATGTGGCCGGAGCCTGAGAACCAAGACTATTATTATTTTTTTGCCTTAATATTTTTCAACACCATGCAATGGCTCCCTGAACAATCCCCATATCCACTAATACATCTTTCCTACAATTCTTTTTGATGTGGACTGACCTCCTCAAACATGTATTATTATTATAGCAAGAAACTGTGGCTCTTTTATGCCACCATATCTGACTACGCAAATAATGGTTACTAGGGCAAGTGTATCTGTGCAGAGTTCTCTCCCTTAGACCCGCACATTAACCTCTCCTAAACCAGATGGACTATATTTTAATTTAACATTGGTCACTTCACGTTATTACATAAACACAGACTTTAGTCTTAATGCTGTTCTCTATTTACATATTATCATAATTTAAAAAATATTCAAGTACAAAACAGAATATATACTTCAAGTTAAATTTTGATCTGATGTAGACTTTTACAATTGTTGTCATTCTTGGAATCTGTTCAACATACACTAGTCTGTCTAAATAGGATTTTTGTCAAATATGCATCTCAGTCAAAATAGTCAAAATAGTAGTCAAAATGTAAATTCAAGGAAGAGGATCCATGGAGATTCATCCATATCACAGACTCCAGTAGGCTTGAGCAAAGTGTTCTGGCAGTGGAGCTCAGTTACCTCCCCCTGGTGGTCTGACCTCTGAACTCTGGGTGTGGGAGGAAGCAGCAAGCCTGTGCTGTCAGAGAGTATAAGATGCGTTGGCTGTGTTGGTCTTCAGTACGACTTCTTCAGATGCTCATAAGTCATGAAGAACTAGGCCAAGTTAAGGAACTTACATACAGCAATAGATCACTTAAAGGTAGACATTGAGCCATATCAATAGGCTGGAAGACCTCTAGTAACATGTGACCTGAATATGTTACAATGACATTTTGTATCTGCCCACAACATTAAAGTTTAACAGCCTGTACATAAGTACCTGGCAACACTCTCACATTTACAGTGTGACTCACACAATTACAGTGTGACTCACACATTTTCATCACAGATCACCAAAGTTTCACCCATTTATTCATCTTTTTTTTTCAAACATCTTCTTTTCGTCACTACAATAAAGGTTAAATGACTTTTGGCTGGGTGGTTGAGTTCCCTTTGACTACAACCTTTTGGAAGTGGGGAAGCATTGGATGTTTTTGTAACCTCCACTTCATTCCAAATCGAATACCTAGATTCAAAAATTTGGGGAGGTGGGTGGGATTGTTCCTGATGTATTCCTAAATTCCTGAGGCAGCATTCTTTGAATTATTTACAATGAGAACTACTGTTTGACAAATCTTGCGACCCCCCAAAATGTTTGGCTGGCTTCACCTTTCAGAAGAAAACAGTATGCTCTGAAGCACTGACTGAACACCTATTCCCCTACGATCACCCCATCCCTCCCAACACGACCGCCTCCGTGGTCTAGTGGTAGAGCGTCCGCCCGGAGAGCGGAAGGCCCTGGGTTCGATCCCCTACCGCATCATACCAAAAGACGTTAAAAGATGGTACTTGTTGTTACCCTGTCTGGCGCTCAGCATTAAGGGGCTAAAACAAGGACTGGTCGGCTCGGAGTCAGTATACTGTGTCTGGGTGGGGTATTCATGTTAAACTGCGGCATGGTATCTCAGTGAGCTAGCACTATAAATCGGCATCAGTCCGGACTAGTACAAGCAGCCCCACACACACACACACGTGCATGCACGTCGCTATATAAGTGCAATAATCTTGGACGCGACGTTAAACCCCATTTCACCTCACCTCACCCCTCCGAACACACACACACGTCCAAAATTAAATGGTTGGTCCTTAAACACAAATGGATCCTGTGTTTTCTTCCAGACCGTGACTACAGTTCACGAAGCCTTCTACTGTGCTACCCTACACATGGTGCAGATGGGAAAGGCAAGGATACAATGATGTTCCACGGCCCGAGTCGGACCCAGGTGGGGATGAAGCCCTTGTACAAGGCCATGATGCCCTCCGTCTTCACCGTCTGAAACACACAGTGATACACAAAGTACAATAGATGCGTTCATGTCACTTGGAACAGCCTTTCAGTTCTAGTGCTGCATGTCCAAGGGAGGAGAGCCTGAAGTGATGAAGATCAGCACAGATGCTGATAAGCCAAGAATCGTAATCAGACAAATCATCAGATCCTGGCACAGCTAAGGGATGTAACTGTACTGACTTCACCCAGACCAATTTTAATGCAAAGTTTCTGTGGCTAGTCATGTTTATTGACACTCTGAACAGTATGTCAGTTATAACACGGCGGTCACCTCTGTTGTCTGGTGGTTAGACTGTCTGCCCATACAGCGGAAGATCGGTGGTTAGTTCCTCGGCCGCATCATACCTAAATACGTTAAAAGACAGTTGTTCTTGTTTCCCTGCCTGCACTTGACATCGTGGGGACAAAACAAGGACTGGTCAGCTCCGAATCCGTATACTGAGTGGGGTATTCATGTCAAACTGCAGCATGGTATCTCAGTGCGTCTGACCACTTGATCCCATCACCTCATAACACCAACTGGGGACCCATTCTGACCCCACCTCCCCACGTAGCGACTTTACCTGGACGAAGCAGTCAGTAGTTGATGTGTAGATTGCCGGTGCGACTCCATCACTGATCACGGCTGTTTTCAACCTCTTCTGGTTCATCAATCGTGTCTGAAACAAGAAGCTCGCTGTTGATGATCTGGGCGTGGCCGGCCACACAAACACAAACATCATGTGCCAACAGACAGGGAAGCAGGGATGGATATTTGAAAGCTCTTTCCACCATGGCCGAACAAATCTCTATTGAAACACACAATTTTGATTTCATGTTTAGCCAAATTTAAAACTGACATTTCGAAACATCATCTTTACTAACTACCAATATATCTGCATTCACGTACGTGATTAAATTCTAGTTTTATCGCTGATCTACAAAATTCAAGATATCACACATTTATCTGTTTTAAAGGTCCATTCCAGTTCACAAACAACTTGTGTCATTATGTAACTGTTTTCTCAACCATTAATCAATGCTTGCACTGTTACATACATGCAATAGAATTGCATATTTCATCAACTTTAGTTGATTGTGTTGAACAAAAGGTGTTGCCACTAAGCACTGACCTGTTAAGACTGTTTTTAGTTAAATCAGGGAGTATCTGTTACAAGTGTGTGCAAAATGCTACAGATATAGGTGCTCACATTATTTGTTGAAGCGTGTGGTTATTTTGGCTGGGAAGCCAAATATGAATGAACCTTTAAAACACAAGCATTTAAAGAATTACTGGATAAAAAGTCACATAATATCTAGCTAAACAGACACTGGTCAATTTTTGTGGTGGACAAGATGGTTGAAGATGGCAACTCCACGACGAAAAAACAGGTCTAGAAGACTTCACGCCTGCCCCGTTAAACTTAATATCAAAGTGGAGAGTCAGTCCCATTCTATTCATGAATGTCTGGGTCAAAGTTGACAGGAAATGCCAGTCTTGCAATATCTTTATAACCAACAAACGTCCTCATGATTTAACTGTGCATTCGATTTTATGTACCGGTAAATCGTGACAAGACGATTCAGCGGAGAAGATCCCTATCCATCAAATCCTCACTTTCGACCACTGTAGGCTGATGGGGACCAATTCTTACCCAGAATTCTCCTGGGGGCCAAACAAGGTACCGGTAATATACAAGATCACTGTATCAAATCATCGTTGCATTCAAGGCTTTAAAGGAAATTTATATATATATATCGTCCAACCCACAAGTTTTACAAGAGATATGTCATATGAAAATAAATGAAAGTGGGCAACAGGCATCTATGGAATTATAAAGTGCCAACTAGAAGTACATCTTTTGCCCATCTTTGAGGGAGTTGAGGTTAACGCCGCTTTGAACAATATTCGAGTTATATCATGGAGTGTCAGCTTGACGTGGGACAATCCTGAAGTGGAGCAGGTCTCTGACGTTTACCACTTTGGTGAAACCCAACAATCACAGCAAGTTGGGGAGCACATCTGTGCATTATTCACTGCAGTAGAATTCATGGTATATATGAAACCAGCATTCAGTCAGTAAGAAAAGATCTGTCAAGACGTAAGAATACAGGTAATGACACAGTGTTGTTATGCTATTGGCTTGTCAAATGTATTCAGGAATATTTGCAAGTTGCAAATTGATTGGGTTATTGTTGTTCAGTTTGCATATTTTACACAAATACAAGACTAATCTAGAGCTCTGGAATACCCTTTTTAAGTTCAGAATCCCCAAATGTTCATCTTTTCCCCATGTTTTGTCACGTCTATTTGTAAGCAAATTCATTGATCAATGGCTTCATACATAAAACACAGTCACAGGGTACTGATTCTCAGTGTGCCTTCCGTACCAGGAACTTAACCATGCCATTACGAATTTAACCGTGCCACTGGCATTAAAACACAAGGAATTTCTACCAAAAAGTGTTAAGGAATACGCTTCCTGTTTCTCCCGTGGAGGTGCCATCTTGTTGGAGCATGATGATGATTCACATGATATTCCTGTATAACAATCTAGTCACAACGAAGTGAGAGGACTTAGCTAAAACCCACTACTGTTTGTAGCCGAGCAGTACTGGAGACTTTGGCACAGGGCTCCCGCGGCACCTCCCTCCCAGTACACACCGAGAGAAGCAGGCGGTTGCCGAGTGATTGACCGAGCGAGCGAGGGAGCGAGTCTCTCCTTTAACCTGGGGTAATAACCTTGAAAACAACAACCAACCAACTAGTGATGCAAACAGTACTGGCCAATGGCCAATACAAGCTAGAATCTTTAACACCTGAGTTAATGTAATTTGGTGCCCAACTCAGGTGGGCATCATCAAGAGACTGGGATGAAAAAACATTTCAACAATTTACGAATAGCATGAATTACAAGTACATATTTGATAAATAATACAAAACAATAACATGTATGCTATTTGGAGTCATTTAAAATTTGAAAAAATTGAAGCAAAAGAATATCTATGACATGTTTTTTGAGTCTACGTAGGTCATCATGTATAATGAATCTATGTTGGTTAGAGAGCTTAAGCCATGATGCCAGCTGGATGGGTTTTGCCCGACTGAGCACAGAGGGAAAGCAGGACAGGGATGAAGATGTTAATTAAATCTGATTTAACTGAACCGTTAGCAGCAGCATATAAGCGATAATTAGCATAATTGTGTACTTCTGACATGCTGAAATTTAATATGTTGGTTACCATGGTTACAAGAGTCATGAAAGCAGGAGACAGAATTATTTTCATAAAAATGATTTGAATTTCAGGTTACCAGTTTTGTTATTTTCTGTGAAACAAATTTGTCTGCCAAGCAGAACCTATAGGAAATATGTTTGATGATTTAACTACCATCATTAAATACTACCATCTTTATCAAAAGCAGATTACTATCATAGGAAGTTATGACCTTGTGGCATCTAAATATGCAAATGAGTTTGGTCGGATGCTCGTCTGAATAAAGGCAACAGACAAATATTGATTTTGTGAACAAAGTATCCAGCTTGAACTCAGCCTTGCAAAATTTGGTTTTCCCTCAAATAAAATGCATTCTGCAACTTTATCACTTGTCCAAAGTCGAGTACAATTCTATTCAGCACAGCTAATACATGTATTACCGAAAATAGCCCATATTATAAAAATGTACTGAAATTGGTTCTTATAGCCAAGTTTAGGGTTGTAGACTAAAAGGAAATTTCAGCAGACTTAAAATGTTCTCAATACACTGAAGATATGTGTACTAGATGTTTTGTCACTAGTGTGCGTTTCTATTAAACGTAAATATATCAGAGCAAGTGTTACGTAAAGATTTAATGGAGAGAAGGTAAAACTGAACTGAAAGTTATGTACAGAAAGTTTTACTATTTTGTAAAATAAGTAAAAGAAATAATTCTTGACATATTCTTACTGAATAAATTGAAATAAATTGAAATACTGAAGTTTGAATTCAGATCGACAGATTTATCAATATAAACTTCCCAAAACTATAAAAGGGAATGATTTCAAACAAAGTGTTTTAACCTCATTAGTGGTTTATAATGCATATAAAATACAAACAAATATTGATAACCTTCTTCATGAGATATAGGTCGCCATACTTTTGATGTGTATATCAATCTCATTAAAATCAGATTTTACACCGATACGATACCTCTCTGTGGATGATTTAACGACACTTATAAAAGTGTGAACCCTAAGCGAACTTTGACCACCCAATCAACATGAAGGATGTGTAAAATGAAAAACTCAAATGTATAAAAACAGCTCGCGTAAATACCCAATGAAGCTTTTTCAGCATGCGTACAAAGGTGCTAATTTCTGAAACACAATTACGAGCTAATTTACTTTCCGAGTCAAGCCTATATATTTGGAACAGTTATATACATCTAAAACATTATTTCATTTTTTTTAAATCTTAAAATATTCACTAATTTTGGGAATAACTAATACAGTGATGAATAGATGAGTGAAAAAATATTGGTTACCCAATGAAAAATGTAATAACCCAATTAAAATAGAAACCCCAGAGTAAAAACTCAATAGCTCAAAAAGTTATCTGGAGCTCTGTGGATGCCTGGTAACTCATTCCGAACTGGTCGCTTACGCTCTGTTTTGCTCACTCATACCGAGAATTCAGCTTTGGCACTGATTAGACACTTCCCCTGCCGTGACCTGCTATTGAGGGTCGTGAGATCATCACACAGAGGTATCGTAACAGAGTAAAAGATCTGATATTAAGGAGTTTCATGTGTACACACAGTTAAGGGCTATATTTTGAAATGCAACAACTTACAATACCAACTTACATGTGGATATAAATATCTCACACAGTACTGGATAGTGTTACTAATTTCAAGCCCTGATGTCGACCATCAATGATTTGACATAGAGGGATTAGAACGGACATCTCACCTTAATCACGTCGATTGGGTTGGAGGCGATAGCGCCAGCTAGACCCGCTAGAAAACTGGCTCTGAAAAAATACAAAAAGGCGCATCAGAGAGTGAGTGAGGGGAAATTGCATGATGGTTTTCAGTTTCCCATTCATTTGGATAAAAAAACATTGTATAAGAGCGTTCAGACGTGTGAGTATTCTAAGCACGGAAATTTCATTTGGAACCCAAATCCCGCAGATCCAGGATCAGGAAAGGTACACAACTCTGTATAGCAGTGACTTCCATTGTGACGACGGGACTTACATGAAATGTGTGGTCTTGGTGTCTCCTAGGTACCCAGAGTGTATAATCTGTCGCTTGCATATATCGTAGGCCGGGAGTTCGACCCCCGCCACCGTGGCTGCTCTTTGGGCCGTGGGGAACACGCCCTGCAAACAAAACAACATTTAGTTTTATTATATAATGTGAAGTTTTGGGCCATATTTATTGGCCTAAAGCAGTTACAGTTCATTAGACAGAGATGCATATTGAATCCAGTTAGGTCTGATAATTGACCCTACTGACAAGAGTTGGTAAAAATAGAATGGAAATTACCCGGAAGTGGAATTCAAATCAGATGTTTCCGTTTGTTTGAACGTCCTAATGTTATTGTAGGTAACAGCTAAAATGGATAGAATTATCATTAAACCATCATCATCAAATCGTGACTGCACTTTAAGCATTAATATTTTAATTGTAACTAGTGTGTACATATTGATATTCTCTTCGAAGTCTTTGTAACTGCAGGAGCACAAGCTCAGTTGGCCCAGACGTCACCAGAAAGAAGTATGCTTCCTTACAAGTTAGAGATTTTAAGGTGGTATTTTAGCTTCATGCTTCCATTAATTTCAAGCCATGTTACGATGGTCAAACCGTATCAGATGGCTGTTGCCATGACAACTGTCTCACCCTCCAGAGTCCCGGGAGCCCTTCGGTGCGGTAGATGTTGAGGAATGCACACAGCATGTTGTCCCTGTTGCCGCTCGTCCCCTGAGCCTGGAGCCGGACCTGCGACATATCGGTCAACAATCAGTGCCCATCTTCATCTAATATCTACATCTGACGCTCAGACTCAAACACTTTACCACAGTTGTCGCGAGTTTGGTTTAACACTGCTTTAAACGAACAATCTTTGGCAGGTGAGCTAAAAACTAAAAAAACTGAAATAACATTCAAGAAAGAGGTGGGTTGGGGTGTGTGTGAGAGAGGGGGTGAGTTGACGAGCTTTGAGAAATCATTCTCTACCTTGAGTACATCGGTGGGGTTGGCGATGGCACTGGATACGATGCCTGCAGTGATTCCGCACAGCACGTTGATCGTCAGTGTCTCATCTGAAAATATACGGCAACATTTATCAAAACAAGAGCTAGACACATCAGCTGAAAATTGGATGAAATTGAATGCTCCTTCCCATGTCTGGAGTGACTTCAGTTCAGACTTGTTCCAACCACTGCCATTACTTATGTAAATAGAAATGATTCCTGGCAATAATTCCCCATGTTCATGCTCAAATTCTATATTTACAACATGATACTTTCTCTCTCATAACAAAGATATGAGAACACATTTCTACGAAAACTGCCAATGAATTTCTTCACGTTCTCAAGCTTATCCTCTTTCCAAAGGTCACAGACCCCTGTTTATTTTACTGACTTATCAAAGCGAAACAATTTGCTAAATTGACTTAAGTTTTTGTGACTATACCTTAATGACAAGTTAAGTCCACAACATATGATTTCACTATTACACAATTCCTTCTATGTGAGGCTCAGAACGTCTCAATCAACCCTCTGTCAGATACCAAGATGTGAAACAACTACAAGCCTAAAATGCCCTAGTTTACTTTTATTGTCTCCCTCACGCGCTCTCCTACCCAGAGTTCCATGCGACCAGCATAGTACCTCTGCCACAGGCCAGCACCATGTGAAATTCATCACATCTTACACAGTCCATTCAAGATATTGCATATGTTTTTCATCTGTTTCATTTTTGACAAGTCTACATATCTAGATAAACATATGTCATAGAATGGTTAAGTTTCATTGAGAAAATATCCTAAATCGTGAAAAACTATTTCCATTTGTGTAGTTATCCTTTGTTTACATTGGATTTACCTCTCCACGTGCTGTCATCGAAGCCCTACAGAGAGCTAGCGATACGGTCGCTTTGGTGTATAAATATGTATTGTCAAGCCTCACTGTCGCAGTTGTAGTAGCATATCTATATGATTATGCAAAACAATATGTAAAGCGCCCCCAAATATTTGCATTAGTCCATTCTATTCTGATTTCTGAAAAAGAGCGTTTGTTTACACACAAGAGAAAAGTCCGGGAACGTGATATGCAAATTAGCCTGTGGCAGTGGTGTTATGCTGAGTCACTACTGCGCCGGCGTGTCTCCCTCAGGTACAGATGCCATGTTGTCTCTCTCACTTCTATTTCCCAAAACACAAGGGAAGTAACTCTGAAGACTAAATACCAGCTAAGACAGTTTGGCGGTAGAGACATTACACCTCAAGTTCATCGATATTCCAGATGTTATATGCTGATATTCAAATGATATTAATTAGCCAAGCAACTTTGTTTATTGTTTTTCTTGTTGTTTAACATGCATGGAAATCTGTAAATAATCAAGTCTGAACCAGATACTGGACACTATGATACAAATTGATACAATGTCCCACGACTTCACCAAGTCTGATACCGACGAACCAGAGATTGATATTATGAGCAACAATCCATGCAATCGGGCTCCGATCAACTGAGTCACCAAGTCTGACCACATATTCCACTAGGTGGCACTGCACAACAAACACAACAAGTTTGCTCGGGACCAATTCTAGCGCAGAGCCAAGCAACCTGGACCCCTAGTCCCCAGATTATACACAAGAGTGATACACAGAGTGTCTGTCAGGTGCCACCAATCTTACGATATCCAACGAGCGAAAGGCATGAAGAAGCCAATCATGGACCTGGAATTTGATTTCACACGTTTCATACCAGCGTTCTCAAAACTTGTAGTGCACAAAGTGAAACATATTTCGTTTGATAACTTCCCCTGACTGGAAGAATGTCACTGTGTTTCAGGGCTGATAAAATCCCAATTCACTCACAGTACAAATATTAAATCAGAAACAAAAAACTATTAAAAAGATTGAAATCAACATCGGATATATCTTGAACAGTATTTCTGAAGACACAGGATTGAAATTAACAACACAAAAGTTGCAACAAGAATTTTTTAAAGCATTTAATTCATCTCTTGAATTAATTTCTAATTTCGACATTTTCAGGTGAAATATTATTGACCCAGCAGACATGCAATCTGTCCCAAATAGCCCTCGATCAGTATGAGAAGCCACTCATTACACTAATGGCGGAACCACCGCCTAACTTACTTCTGGGATCCGGCACCGCGATCCTCTTGAGAGTGTGGTACACTCCGATCTTGATGGTTCCATATGTGGCTTGGCGTAGAATGGCCGGGGCGATGCTGAAATTGTACAGTTGTCAAATGAATCGATAAAAATTACATATGTACCATATTTGCAGTAATAAGTGCTCCTGGTACTTGAAAACTTACAAATGGGGTGGGGGGGAAAGAACTTATTAAAACCATACACAGAGATTGAGAGGTTGTGGATAAACTTGGTTCAAACGTTGATGCAACATTTTCGATAGTAGTCACTTGGCATCCATATACCCCTTCTGTACACTGGGTATCGTATTTATGCTGCTGGTTCTGTGATATAGACAAGAAAATACGGACTGTCATAAAAAATTTGTTAGTCTTGAGGCACTTATTGGAGCAGGGTGATTAACACAACGAATACGGTACATGAATTTGTAAATGTAAAGTACATTAGGAATATTGATTTCTGAAACAAACTGCAAATTGACTTCATTTTTGGTGTTGCGAACATTTTATTTTATATCATCTGCAATCAGTCTGAATAAACTGCATGTTGTTTTAACCTACACTCGGCAACATTCAAGCTGTGTCACAAGCGCTGGTAAATAATCAAGTCGGGGTCAGATAACCAAGGTCAAGGTCTACTATCCAGAAGGTACGATGACACGCGATGTGCCATGTCACTATAAATGTCAAATTGCAATACTGTTTGCCCGAAATACAACATATTATGAAAAACAAAAAAAATGCTAATTATTTTTTTCATTACCGCTAAAATTAGAGGGGTGGCACAAAATCAGACAGATGGTCGGGAACCCTTTAAAATGCTGGGGGAAATAGTACACCTTTATACCATGTATTACAAATCAATGTTTGTGAAGTCAAACTGAATTGTTTGAGTATGGTTTTACGCCGCTTTTAGCAATATTCCAGCAAGATCACAGCAGGGGACACCACAAATGGGCTTCACACATTGTACCCATGTGGGGATTCGAATCCAGGCCTTCGGCGTGACGAGCGAATGCTTTAACCACCTGGCTACCCCACCGCCCCTAAAGTCAAACCTAAACCTTATCTGGCCATTTATGCATGTTGATAAACATCCACAGCTGTTGCTGGATAAAAATATCATGGATACAAAAAGTAATGAACACTATCTAAACAAATCATACGCTATCAGATGTCTGTGGTAAAATAGGCTTGATTCCCTAACTGCTATGCACAGTTGGATATAGTGGTAGAATTACCATAATATTATCATAGCAAACATCAGATGTCTGTGGTAAAATAGGCTTGATTCCCTAACTGCTATGCACAGTCGGATATAGTGGTAAAATTACCATAATATTATCATAGCAAACTTGATCAGAAGTTCAGCACCACTGATCAGCAACAAAGTCATCAACCGTAAACCTGAACAATATCATCTATGGCTGCCATTGATATACTTTAGTCGACATTGCACTAGATTAGAGGTCATGGTTCATTTCAGGGTAAAACCGGTTGCTTTGAGAGGTAGTAAAATATTGGTCGGTCAAAGTGACAGAAATGGGCCTTAGGTGCTGAAGTTACATTAAGAATGGTGAGTGAGTTAGGTTTACGATGATTTTTGCAATATTCCAGCAATATCACGGCGGGGGACACCAGAAATGGGCTTCTTTAAAGATGGGGGCTTTAAGCATGGCGGCTAGCTCGAGGTGCCGAGGTCTATTCCTTCCTAACCACTGGGCACTGAATATTTACCTATTTATCATTTGATAGTGGGGGTGGGGGTGGGGGGGGTGGGGGAAGATTCAATATAGTTTTCCACCTTTGGATCCAGTCTCTTGGGCACTTTAAAACCAGTGAGTGAACCTATCTAAAACATTCTGCTTACAATGCTGTGTCAGGTGACTTTCATTTTGCACCTGTCCCAATATCTCAAGTGTCATAGCACACTAGCTCACAACAGCAACCCAGCAAGTTACAATAAGCAGGACATAGCAAATGTTTTGTATTATTCACAACAGTAGAGTTCATATATATGGGATTCCTGCATTCTATCAGTAAAGGATCTTATTATACTATTGTTTTTCATATTTTTCATGCGCATTTGTACGCAAGTAACTCAAAATCAATCAGGTTATGTTAATTGATTTTGCGTATTTTATGCAAATACGCAGCTAATCTGCTGGCGTCAAAGACAGGGAAGGGAGACAATTTCTTACCCAGAATACAGTGCATGAATGCCTTCTTCTCTGAAAATACGGAAAATGGCATGGAGCATGCCCCGATACTTGAGTTCTGTGTGCCGTGCATCGATACGCTGGCCTTGGATCTGCAGTCGTGTCTTGGTGGTGTCAATGGGGAAAGTCCCTGAAACAAGTCATTGTCAACAGTTGTAGAGTAAATAGTACCCAGTGTCCAGCGATGTGGCGGTCATATTCCAGCAATATTGTAACAGCCTGTAAAACATCAAGAACATGCAAACCAGTGATCGAAAGCATGAGCATTTGGGTACAATAATGGTGTACTGGGGACCTCTTTAGACCCAGAATCCCTACAGGAAATAAGCCTAGTAAAATAGTTAGCATCTGTTGGATAATGCTATATGTACAAAACAGAAGTGACAACTGCCGAACATCCGAAATCACAGTATTGTCACAAGTTGTAAGTAAATAGTGTCAATAATAGTTAGCAGAAGTCAGCTAAACATGTCATACCATGTATAGAACAGAAGGGACAACTGCCGAACATCCAAAATCACAGTATTGTCACAAGTTGTAAGGTAAATAGTGTCAAGAATAGTTAGCAGAAGTCAGCTAAATATGTCATACCATGTATAGAACAGAAGTGACAACTGCCGAACATCCGAAATCACAGTATTGTCACAAGTTGTAAGGTAAATAGTGTCAATAATAGTTAGCAGAAGTCAGCTAAATATGTCATACCAAGTATAGAACAGAAGTGACAACTGCCGAACATCCAAAATCACAGTATTGTCACAAGTTGTAAGGTAAATAGTGTCAAGAATAGTCAGCAGAAGTCAGCTAAATATGTCATACCATGTATAGAACAGAAGTGACAACTGCCGAACATCCGAAATCACAGTATTGTCACAAGTTGTAAGGAAAATACTAAATAGCATCAAGAAATAGGTAGAGTGGTCAGCTAAGGGCCTCACTTTCATGTATAAAACGGAATTGACAACTGTCTAAAATTCAAATCACAGCAGAGTTACTGGCTGTAAGGTACAGGGCCCACATACACAAAGCGATCTTAGTGCTAAGACTATCATAAGCCTATGTTAAAGTATTGGAGTTATGGTCATCTTAGCGCTAAGATCGCTTTGTGCAAGTGGGTGCTGGTCTGGACTGGTCACTGACAGGCTGCCGTTATACTGTTTTCCTGACATGAATGATGCATTGACATACACTTTAATTAGAAACAAAGTACAGAGGACCCATAGAATAACATTGAGATATTTGCTTTTTTAACCATAATGCATCAGTAACTGGTGTTGCCAGCATGATGTACGATGATGTACTGTGTGACCCAGGACAGATGTTACCAGCCACTGTACTGTGTGGAGTGCCACGGCTCCTAATCCCCTCAGAAATGCCGTAGAGCAGCATGTTGCATAGTATGTCAATAGAATGACTCAAAAAATAAAAATGTCCCTCTCAGGTCACATTTAATTACATTTTCATCCAAAACATTCTAAAATGCGAGGCAGGTTATTCTTAAGTGTTCAAAGTAATGTGGGCTCCAAGAGATCTTCTATGGTATTTGAATCAGTGGACGCTAAATTTGTAACTTTGAACATAAGTGTTTTGACAGGGACTGTGGATGTTTATGCTTAATTTTTAACAGTTTACTTTCTTTTAAACAAATTGTCCAAGTCAAAGGCATCTGTGTATATTACCGTATTCGACGTTATAAGCCCCCAGGTCGCTCTCAAAATTAGAAATAGGGGGCTCTTATTAGAATATCATATTGGTGGAAAAAACATAAATTTTGCGGTTTATGCTGACAGCCTGAAATGTTTATGTACGACAGATATATTTTTCCAGAATTTCATTGCCCATAATTAAGGGTGCATATAACACACGAGTGCTTATTATACACGAATAAATAAGTCTTGTGTACGTTGATAAATCGGAAGGGGTGCTAATTGGGATTGTTCACTTGCCAATATATTAGCAAATATCGCCGTGGGCGCTTATCATGTCAAATACGGTAACTGTCAACTTGGTACGACAATGTTTATAGTTCATATGGAGCAAAACACTGTGTGTGCATTTAATGTTTCAACAAAGTTACTGCTATATAAAGAGGCCTGTAAAAAAGTGAATCTTGACTAGACAATCCAGTGTTTGATACTATGAGCATCTATCCACACTTTGTGGTAGTGAACAGCACAGGGATGAAACTCAATAATTTACATATTATGGACTAATCATTACGGGTGCGAGGTATTACCGGTGTATCGGTAAACTGAAGTTCATTCTTTCCACGATACGTATCACAATATCATGTTTTGATGCCTGGTATATCGGATGATTTCAAACAGTGACTTTTATCATGTGTTTAATGTTATACACTTGCGAAATACATGTACCTTCGAAATGTTTCCGTAATTCTAAAATGTAAGGAGTTCTTCTGTGGCAGTGGTGTAACACCAAGTCATTACCATCCCGGGCGTATTGATTGAATGAATAAACATTACGTTGTTCCAGCATCTTGTTTTGTTCCATTTATGAACTTCAAATCCTATATTGATGTTTCAAATTGCTTCTCAATTCAAAATGTTGAATAATACAATATATTGTGATACGTATTGCAATACGTCCTTGTGCATTGTGATATATTGGGATACATTATAAACATCCAATACCTATCGCTACAAATGATAGTTCAAATTATTCATACAAAACTTGAAATTGTCAAGCAAAATAATGTTATTTCATTGTTGAATATCACATTTCAATAATGTCCCGATTTCATCACGACAACAGCATGACATCATTAACAAACACGCCAAGAAGCTATCTGGTTCGTAAAATAAACTACGAATCATCTTGTCACAGAACATATTAATCTCATCAAGTGACCGGACAAAACAGATATTTCCAGTAATGCAAAAGACCTGTAATTTGAATGAAAGTGATATAATCACTTATCAGGCACATCCATCTGCCGCCAAACCACCCCAGCTAATACTTGTATGGCATAAACACTCTTATGGATTGATAGTGGATCTCTGCCCACTCAGCGTGTTAGTCTGTACCATCATGTAATCAAATTTTCATAGAAAGTCACCCTATTCATGTCTTGACCTATCCCAGCTTAGTTCTTCTCGTTAACCGTCACTGGAAAACGAATCCCGAGTCTATCCCCATCCAAATCCCGATCAGAATCCGAAGTGGTGTAATTTGTTCTGCTGCAAAAATCAATAATTGGCATATAATCTGTATTCTTGGCTAAGAATAACATGCCATTGTGTTCTGATATTCAAACCAACATTCCAAATGATTCCGTATTCTTGTCCTCGCATATAAAGACCTGAATACGGATGGCAGCTTATAGATGACTTAGATGCATGACTACGAATTGAATATCTGTGTTCTGGGATTACATTCATCACTTGCTAAATGAGATACTTGTCTGACATGTCGCCTGAAACAATGTCCGAGCTGACGAGTTGATGGCAGCTCTTCTTCCACTGTAATGCTCTGTCCGTCCAACTGATTTATGAGGGCGACACTTAGCACTTGTTGCCACCTGCTTGATGGCTTCCTGTTGCATTTACCTGGTCACGTACATGGCATTGTCAGCAGTGCCACGGCTACAACAGCTACATCATCTGTTATACAACCCACACGGCAGACAGCAGCCATTACACTTTAACAGCCATTACACTATACAGCCAATACACTATAGAGCCATTATACAACCCAAGTGGCAGACAACCAACCCAAGTGGCAGATAGCATGGACACCAATCCAAGTCTGTCTTGTCTGAGTATCACTTGGCCCTGTGGCTGAAGTATGAATAATATCTGTCAGCCATGAATACCATCCAATCCTCATTAACTTATGTGTCTTCTGGTCTGAATGTGTCAACCCCCATGGTCTAGTGGATAAAGTGTCTGCCTGGAGTGCAGAAGGTTGGTGGTTCAATCCCTCGATGAGTCATACCAAAAGATGTTAAAAGATGGTACTTTTTGTTTCTCTGCCTGGCGCTCGACATTAAGGTGACAAAACAAGGACTGGTCGGTGCGGAATCAGTATACTGTGTCTGAGTAGGGTGGTCATGTTAACATGTGGCATGGTATCTCAGTGGGCTAGCACAATAAAAACGACATAAGTCTGGACGAGCACAAGAGGCTAGACACTCATACATCCACATCACCATACAAGTGCAATAATCTTGAACGCATCAATCACCTAGAGGCTAAAGTTACGTTGACAGAAGTTACATTCGAGTACCGGCTCTGGAGGCCTCCAACAATGAAAAGATAGGTGTACACTATTGATTGAACACTTTAACACCAAGTCATTTCCCTGCGTCCCCTAGCTCTATGGTAACAGAGGGGCAATACCACATGCTCGTTTATATGCCATATAAGTTGTTGTTGTGAGAAGCTCTGTAATTGAAAACATGACCTGCAGTTCCATGTCCCGCTAGTCTGCATACATGTTTAAAAGAAATCTAATCTACATTCACACAGCGCCCATACAAACACCACTAGACATGAAAACCACACCATATTCCCCGCACCCAGATACCTTGAAATGTGTTAAGGAGAGTGTCTACTTGAAATGTGTGAATGAGTGTCTAAAAAATGTTTATAAACCTGTTTATGTATCTTTGCAGTCTAATAACATGCACCCTGTGCGTATGACTTTACTTACATATACTTTACTTACATATACAATACGGGGCGGTCGGGTAGCCTAGTGGTTAAAGCGTTCGCTCGTTACGCCGAAGACCTGGGTTCGATTCCCGACATGGGTACAATGTGTGAAGCCCATTTCTGGTGTCCCCCGTCATGATATTGCTGGAATATTGCTAAAAGCGGCATAAAACCATACTCACTCACTCACATATACGAGGACAAGGGGCGGCGGTTTAGCCTAGTGGTTAAAACGTTCGCCTGTCATGCGAAGACCTGGGTTTGATTCCCCACATGGGTACTATGTGTGAAGAACATTTTTGGTGTCCCCTGCCGTAATATTGCTGGAATATTACTAAAAGCGGCACTGATACAGAAGGATGGTCTATCAAAAGTTGGTAATATGAAAATATCTGACTGCCATTTGTCTCCACAATTATACTGCATCAAGATCTACAAACCCTAAAATGTCATTGAT